TGTTCAAGCTCTGTAAGCAATTTACGTATCCCTGATTGTTTGCCTTCAATTTCTTGTACCTGCTCTAAATACTGATGTGTAGCTTTGTGAGTACTGTCCACTTGATCATTCAGTGTCTTCCATTCGCCCAGATACTTTTCAAGATCTTCTTCTAATTTACGCATCAATGTAGTTTGATTCAATTTCAAAGTATCCATCACGTCAGCATCAAATTGATTTTTCAGTATATCATATAGGCTATTGATTTTTGTGTCTAATGATTGAATAGTCTTCAAAGCATCACGATATTCATCAAAATGAAGAGGGTGACTTTGATTCAGTTCTGCTTGAAACTCCTAAGAAATGACAATAATAATAATAATAACAATAAGTATATTTGTAGTCAGGGTCAAGTTCTGATTACAATTTCAAGGTTAAAGAACATTCACAACAATTATAATTATCACCTATTAATTTGTTTGTTAGATATATATCACACAGTCAGTGAAACAGTATTATTTACTGGATGACACGGTTTCGAACGCAATTCACTGTGGTTCATAATCATGCCATCAATTATAATCCCACGACTTTGAAACTTGAGTTTTGTAGTCTTTCTTGTTCTCTCCTATTTTTCCTCGTAGGGGTAGTAAAATTTTCCAGATGTCCAGCTGGACAGGTGTTGAATCATTCGTAATACATGCGTTTGCAGTTGATTTGATAAACAAAGCTTCCGTCACCAATCAATCTCTCCCTCTACCCCACTGTTACATCAGATTTTAAAACTGTCGTCTTATCCCGTCCAGCCTATTGTATGGTTGTGTGTAACTGCATGTAGTGAGTGGTATAGCTGAACTATTCTCTAGATTTCTTTTCTTATTCGGGTCAACCAATCTAGATTTTGCTAGGTTTTTGAGCTCCGCTAGTCTGACTGACTGCCCTGTTCTACTACGCATTTCACCCGACAATCATTGCAGGCATGGGATTAGATAAACTAAATTGTTTTGTTCAATTGGTCCCACAGGATTTATCCTTTAACCGAAAAAGCATGTTTCTAATTGAGTTTGTGGGTGTGATTTGAATGCCAGCCACTTTTATTCCTGCCTGCAATGTTAAGAATTCTATTTTGATGGTTTCTGAGGTTCCTTCTTTGTATGGGGGGAGGCATTACTGATATTTTCTCAATCTCTTACTGTTGATGTTATCGTCTTTCTCTGTATATGTTTGTCATGAATATATCATTCTTCCGACTTAATAATTTATCAGGATAATTATTGTAGTAAACCTCAATGCCTTCTCATATATAAGCCATATATACTGTCATTGATTTTCTTTGGTGCTGTTTAGTTATTATTGATTATTTTGCTTATTCAAAACACTGACTTTGTGGAATACGCGCACCAAAAGGTGCACCTCACAAAAGGATACACTGAAGGTCAAAATAACAATGAAGATGACTAAACCAAATAACAAAGGTAATAGTACATCTACCCTGACTGGTATCAAAACAAAGTTTACCAAAGAAAGTTTAGTGTAATGACGAATTGTTGATCTGAACGCATAAAGGTGGTTTAAACTTTCCAATTGTCAGCTAGGGCTACCACAATCTTTAGGATACGCCCCAAACACGTTTTATAGATAGGTTTAAAAGATGTGTTAACGTCAATTTTATGCCCTGTGTCTATAATATGTTTCTCAGCAGAGGAGCTAGGTCTCCTGTTCTCACCATTAATGGGTTCTGGGGACTCTATTTGTTTCTGGAGCCATTTAGGAATATGCTCTGAAGCCAGCCCTTGCTTGCAGAGATTGATGAATCCTCTCTACGTATAATGTGTCCACACGTACATTCAACTACTAAGATATATGACCTCTATTGGTGTTATCTACTCTTGTGTGTATTTATAATGTTTACAATCGCTTGATTCGTAGTTTTGTTACTAAACTTGAGGAATGGCCTGATTGTGTGTGGGTGGCAACGTGTTCCAATCAATACATGAGATAACTGTACTTCAGTTATATCCTGAGTCTTGAAATATACTTCTGAACATTTTACAATTGACTTTCAACTAGATATCGTGGATTTCTTCAAGGAAACAAAGCAGATATATCTCATAACGGAATGGTTAGAACATTTTGTCACAGGAGGGATATACTGTCAATTAATATTTTACTTGAAGATATTGCACCAGGGAAAATAAACTCCTTTGGAAATTCAGTACATTTTATAAATACTATCCAGAATAAAGATATTATTATTATTATTATTGAACAATAATATACATAAGGAAATTAGTGATTATAGATAAATGAGGGACGATATCCAGGGAATGAATACGCATCCTTGTCTGGAGGAGGATCAAAGGATGGTTATTTACCTCCCCCTATTTTACTTTCAGACAAGGAAGAAAGACGGAAATTGTGACATATTTGCTACTGATTATAATTCTCGACCACATATGAAATAACGTCGTCTGAGGCTAGACGAAAACCAAGCAAGAGTTGTCAGTCAGTAGAGCCTATCAGCGAAGGCAAGGAAGAATTTCGAGTGAATATATTTGAGAAGACAGAGGTGGTGAAGACGCTCACCGACCTATTAACAACAACAACAACAACAAGCATTAATGACCATCAACCGTAACAATCTACAGGAAGTCACCTCTCTTCCGATATCCTAGATGGCATTGTTTCAATTACAGGTGATACAGCACGGATGGATGAAGAGGTCAACGTCAGTCAAGATGGATTAGAAAGGTGAGAGAGAGAGAGAGAGATGTATTGCTCTGAAATCATCAGCGTGGAAATCCACTGCACTTAACATAGAGGAACAAGATCCGGATTTTCAACGCAAATGTTAAATCAGTCAGCTATTTTTTTTTATGGTTCAGAGACTTGACAAGTGCATCACCAAAAGTATTTCCAACAGGTTGATCACTCTTCGGCAAAGTTAAACTTTCGACACCACTAACAACCAATCAGCAAACGACTTTGAACGGACCAATCACATTAAAGAGGCATATTTGATGAATGAAAATGTATATTTATAGAAAAAAAGCATAAAATAGAGAATAAAAAAGTTACATGGGATATCTTTCTCGAACATGTGAGAAAAACATCTCCCAGTTTAGCATGGGACTGTCAATGGAGAAGTTACACCACATCCTGTACATATATCCATCCAAATGACCATAAATGAGATCCTTTTGAGATCCACTTAAAGCCCTTATCCTATTTTTCAACCTGCCCCAAAATCCTTCAATAGAATTTGTATGTGTCCTCGTAACGGGATCCACAAAATCACTTGAATGGTTGACTCTGTGATGAATACATCCCAGAGATGACAGTGAATTGTAGCCTTTCCACTAGTCGGTGTGTATAATTGACCCCCGCTTAACAAGTCTGGTAATAATAGGTATAAGAGTAGTTGCTTTTCTATCTGCTATCCTTAGGGAGAGAAGCGACCTAAAAAAAAAAAAAAAAACGAAATATTAAAATTATCAGCTTACTCTCTCTAGCGTTAGTAGGCTTCAAACATATAGCACAACGATGAACAAACCCATCAGTTGATTTGGCATAGCTTTTTAAAGTCGTGATGCCACCACACAAACAAATTCGCTCTTTCCGGCGCAACTCAAATCCAGGAAATACTGGAAAACGCTAACCTCCTTGAATTGCAACAATAGCTTTGTAAGGTCACGCATTAGAAATGAATCAAGCGCTATACAACATTGAACTGCGTTCGTGAACCTCATTGGATAATTCGACATCGTTCGTGAATCTCATTGGATAATTCACTGATTGGTAGTTAGTGGTGTCGAAAGTTTAACTTCGCCCACTCTTCAAAAGAATGGATAATGAACAAAGAATACTCTTTTCGATAACCTCTTCTTCATCAGGCTCTACAGTTATATATCCATCCATTATAGTGAATGAATGAATGAATTAGTGTTATGAACAACATTAATGTTGTTAAAATAACATCGAATCCATAATACTGATAGATTACAGCTCAATAGCATCAACATAAAAATAAACTGAATGTCAGAAAAATTAGGAAAGACAATATTACAAATTCATGAATTTATAGTCTCTACTGAAGGCTGGCCAGGGCAGTAGTGGCTGGCTGGACTTGCTTCTTTTGCACACAAAGCACTGATTGTTTCACATGATTTACGATAGCCTCTGCTGTCTGGAGCATATGGTTGCTGGATGTTTTTGGTAATTTATTTGGTACTCGGTAGATTATGGTGAAGGATTATTCAACATTGGCTGGCTTTGTGGCCGATTTGCACCAGATGGTCCAATATCGAAGTGTTAATAGTTTTCACTACACCTTTACTTAGCCATAGTGGGAGATGTTCTCAAGCGAGCCATAACGAAAAGTCAAGTTCCTAGAGCAACGGCCGATATGACTGACTCCACCATAAGCGCAGTTCAATTGGTAGATACAATTTGAAGTGGTTAGCCTGCGTACTTCATCTTTCAGTCGAGAGTTAGCATCATCGGTCGTGTAGAGGATAATACGTGTATAGTTCGCCAGCATTACCAACATCTGTCCCCACTGGTTCCATACTAAAGACCACATAACTAACCGGGAAGGATTCGGAACAAGAAGCTCCAAGGTGCAACGAACTAAACAACAACCCTAATGCCCAACAAATGCGCAGATAAAAATGGACATGGATGGGATACACGCTGAGAAGACTTTTGTGTGAAACTATGCACCGAACAGGCCAGCGATCAAGTGGAACCTGAGTGGGAAATGAACAGTTTGTCATGAGTCAGAGGGTATCATGGAAGACACCGCGCAAGAAGAGGAGATAACAGCTAATGGACAATCATGAAGATAGCTAGAGAAGATTACATAATAAAATAAGATGAAATCAAGATGTCCCGCTGAATATTTATGTTCCATTATGTACCTTAAACGAATAATTATGATTTTGAGTACACCTAACTTAATAGCGTATATCAACTGTAATCTGAAGGATGGCAATTACTGAATCTAACAAACACAGACTTACCAATAAGAGTGAAAGACGTGTCTGAGCTGTATAATGATCCAATTGACCTACAATGCAGTTAGAAGTCAGCGATACCGATGAAGGTGATACATCAACATTCATCATCACCTCTGATCTCGTCTCATGATTATCATCTACACTGATGACGCTTTGACTTTGGGCTATTTGTGCAAATTTCTTTGCTAGTCCATTTAGCCATGCACGGCATTGAGTAAACTTTTGTTCAGCTTTACACCATGCAGTACTGATTGTTTCGATTATACTTATAATTGTCTGTTACATAATGGAAGGGAAAAATAATGATACAAGGATAAATATGCATATATCAATATTCTGTATAGGGTAAACGTAATTCAAAATCAGACGCTAAACAAAAGAAACCCAAAGAATTTCTAGAAAGTACCCATTAGAAACTTCAGTAATCAGTGTGTCCGGAAACTCCTAGAAACCTGGTACTCAGACGAATCTGCAATCAACTGACACATTTGCATTATATGATTTTTTTTGTAGCGATCCTAAATGAACTGGAATGTGTATGTCGTCAGGAAGCAACATCAGTTAGAGTGAGATCATTGAGAACTGCCATGGATCACTGGACAGTTGTTTCGTCCTAGTCTAGGACTCTCCAAACGCCCACACCTACCATCCTACCAGGGATGAAAGTTACAAGACAAAGATTGCTGATCATGCAACCATTTGGACTGGGATTCAACGACCCGTGAATTCTAACCTTGTCAACTTGTGACATAGAGCTACTCTAAAGCTAATATCTCCGATTAGTATCCACTTCAACTTGACACAGTGGACTCAATTGGTCAAGACTTTTCACCAGACATTTAGGTCATTCATCCGGTAGCTGTTGGTTATACGGACTTAGAAACACTGTTCACCCTGGGTAGCGAAGGGAGGATGTGGGTGTGTTTTTAAACCTCAGTGACCATGACAAACAGCCAATTCTTTCAATAATGATTACTTGTTCACATTTCTTATCCAAACTTCCTGTTTATTTTTGTTATTATTATTATTACATTTTAAACCTCTACTTGTAATCTCGTTATTCATTAACATTTTTACCCTTGATCGGAAAAAATTCTGGAACTTTCTCACCATCTTACTGTATACATACATACATACATGAATGTACAGTCTAGCTGATGACTTAGTCGAAAAGGAAGTTTTCTTCTTCACTGCAATCGTCTTTTTAATTTCCTTTTTTAGAGTCGATATCAAAACAGTGGACTTTTAACTGCAAACACGTCGGAAAATGTGTACGACATTGCCATACCATGGAGTATATTTATAACACAGGATGTGGGATATTGTGAGTAGCAAAGCAGATCAAATAACTGCATAACTGTTATCGTCACCATTCTCCTAGTGACTAGAGAGAGTATCAATTGAAAGGTTACAGACTTGATCATCACCTGATATCAATGAGAAAACCACTGAAAAACCCAGAAAGGAGTATTGGAGAGTTGTTTCGTCCTAGTTTGCAACTCTTCAGAAATACGCGTTCGCGGGGGCTGAAACCCAGGGCCATCCGGTTACCAGAAGATCTTGTAGACCATTTAGTCACTGGGTCCCAATCCAATGACCAACCTATGAATTCCATATTCTGTCAATTGGCAACACACATATATTAGTACATAACACAACTGCCAGTAATGTCATCGACCTTGATAACACTGTTCACTTTGCGTTGAAAGCATTCTATACACTAAACATGATCTGACAACACCTCATCAACTTAACCAGTAATGCGACTATTATCTTAAGGAGAACAATCCATTTGATTGAATGCTAAAAATGTAGAACTGTGAGTTCAAAAACTCTCAAACTCCCTGACAAACCAAAGCCTCTAAGTCAGTAAATCCTATGTTCGATTTCTTAAAGCAATAAAGCGAGCCAAAAAATTTTAATCATGTTTTGATCAGGAGCTGACATCAGTTAGAGAACCATTCGAAAATCAGCAGAGAGTACTGGACAGACGTTTCGTCCCTGTCTAAAACTCCTCGTCAGTAACCGGATGGTCTATGAGCTTACCTAATAACCCGAAAGTCGTAGGTTTGAACCCTGGCAGTGGGTGTATACTACTGAGTAACAGTCCTGAACAAAGATAACACAGCTGTTGTCACTGAAGTCAACTCGTGATCACATTTGTAACCAAGCAAATCCCTGCAAACTAACTCCTATCCTGGAGAACCTCATGTTTTCTACCAAAAAAATTACAAACTTTCACTGTCGGTCCTTGATATAAAAACAGGTCTCAGTATCGACGAATTTCTAAAGAAACTCATTGACAAAAACAATTTATAAATATTTTTCACAAAAATGTATATTGAAAACTTACATCAATAAAACTAACGATTTCCGACAACTTTTCGCTTCGTTGATTGAATGTTGATTGGACTGTGATGAATTCAATTGTAGACAGTTGTTCTTGTAAATATTCATCTTCATTGTCAACACATGAAAGTGTTAAGTTCTTTCTGTACACCTCTAAGAACTGTGAATGTTCCGTTTTCAACTGTAGAAATTCTTCAATTAAAGGTGTCATTTCCTCTTCATAAGATTGATGCATCTGTTTAGCTCTCTCCCTGATCCCATGCCAGCTGTTAGTGTATCTTTTAATCTCTTGTACAGAAGTAGAACATAAATTTACACCCTCAGAATGAATACGATCAATAATATTCGAAAGCCGTTCATTCGTAGTTTTCTCAAGTGTATGAAATAATTCAAGTCTGTCATTTAAATTTGCTAGAAATGTTTGTAATGTGTGCAGTTGATGCTCCAAACTTGTCAGTTGCCTCTGACTACCTTTCACTTGTATTTTGAAGTTATTCATACTTTCTGTGCAAGTGTCTACAAAAATACTGTCATAGGTCAGATTAATATCATCTAATAATCGATTAACTTCCATCAGACTAGGATCGATATATGTTCTTAAAATATTTATGCACTTGATGAGTATACTACTTATAGGGAATTTAAGTAGATCAACGTCATTTGCTTCATTTTCTTGGCATAAAATGCGTTGAGCACAATAGTATATATTTTGCACAGATTGAGTCAATATTGTTTCAACAGTTTTTATTGATAATATAAAATTCTCATGACGAATAACAGCACATTTCCATCTACTTATCTGTAGATTTACTTTTTCTAATGTTTTATTCAGTTCATTATCAAATGTTTTCAAACGTTTCACTAAATTTACATCAGCGGGATATATTTTAATCACAGGAGGATGAGATGTTGTACCTTCAGTTGCCTCAGTTAATTCAACAGATTTCAGAGGTGTAACTGATGAAGCTATTGTGTTATTAGTACAGTTCCTCAGCATTTCATTGATTTCTGTTCTGTGATCAGTAACTTCGGATAGAATGGTCTAGAAAAACAGAGTAAAAATATTGTAAAAACATGTAAAACACGAATCACACTCTCCAGTGGACAGCTAGTGTGCATTAAAGGTTAGATAACGATTTTGACAATCTTAATGTGCACTCATCAGTTTACTGGTTCTTATGGAGCAGAGTACATCACTCTTACACAATAACAAGTCCGTAAACACATTCTGGAACAATATCCAGTTTAAATAGGTAGAGTTTTATCCTCAAACACCTTGTCAACACTCTAGGTATCGACTGGGTACTCCTGAATGATTGCCTCACAGTGCTACACAGAAGTCCTCAATATGGCACGAAAGGACTTCGAATACGTCATGCAGGAGTTTGAATGATTTCGGGTCCGACCGCTAACCGATATCGTTCTGAAAACCATTAAAAGCCAGCTGTGAGTAGTGGACAGTTGGTTTCGCAATTTTTGTAACTCTTCAGCAGTACAAACTCGCAGAACTTAGAATTGATGGGCCATGGGAATCCGTCACAGTGACTGAATTGTCTAGGGTCTCGCAGCGTAATTCAAAAGTCCTGGATTCGATATCTAGAGGTGGGGCCATGGGTGTGTATTGACCAGGAGTCCCAAATTATCCGGTGTTTTCCGATCATATTCCATGAAACTCATACAGATATTCGTCGCAAAGTGCAATTACCAGACACCTCGTCGACGAATGGACAGGGTATTTTGTTGAGAATTCCAAATCCTTCAAAATATTTAATGTTACTATGGGCAGCAGTTTTACTACGAATTACTGCTCTTCCTCAGCAGTTGCAATCATCAATCGTTTCAAATCAAACCTATGCATACACAGAAAGACAGTGTAATCAATCTCCTTCAATCGCTTGGCAACTACATTTTGTGTTTACTTCGGCTAGTCATCTATAATAATGATTTCAGATTACTGAGAACGTTTTCAAACTTGAGTTGCTATTTGCACTAAGAAGCTAACACTGCTTATCTATTAGATTTTTCTGTCTTCCCCTCCTCTCAACCTGGTTTTCTAATTTGAAAGGCATATTAAATTGATGGAAACTTAAACTAAAAATTGAAATGATTACATTTCGAACAGGTCAATTTTTTCTAACATTTCCTCTACTAGTGCCGTTCTGAACACCTTGAGCTGCAATTCGCTCCCGCCAAATGCAAGATGATGTTACAGGACTGTACTACACTGACTCCTAGTTTAGAAATAGGGACTGAAGTGGTAGAACACGTTGACCACTTTACTTGTCTGGGAAGTTGCATCAGCCAATGCCAACGGGCTGATCGCCAAGGAAATCTCAGCACGATACAGAGGGCTAGTTTCCCATATGCCAGTTTACGCCGTCTCTAGCGTGGACGCGATATCCGGCTATCGACCAAAGGGCGAGTGTGCTGCTCATCAGTCCACTCCACCCTCCTTTATGGCTGTGAAACCTGGCCATTGAGAGTGGAAGACATGAAAAGGTTGGCTAACTGTCTTTGATCATAGATGCCTGAGCTCTATCTCCCGTGTGAAGTGGTATAATAAGGTGAGGAATATTGAGGTGAAGCGTCGGTCGAGTGCTAGGTAGGTGGGAGGGGAAATCAATCGACGAGACTGTGGAGCTACATCGACTGAGAGGAGGTTAGGACATGTGTTACGCATGCCTAGCTATCGATCGCCTTCCTCGATGGGCAATGTTAGGTGACATAGGGTCAGGTTGGAAAAGAGCTAGTGGCGGTCAAACCAAAACACGGCTTCAACAGTCAATGAAATCCACTACAGTTAGTTTAAGCCAGACACGTAGGAAGGTGTAGACTTCCTGACTGGTTGGGGTCCTCGGGACGGTTGAAACCAATGAAGGCTGGAGACAATCGGTGATATGGCTCAAAATCGTTCTCAATGACAGCGCAGATACATCCACTCCTTGTGACTTATGATTTCCAATGAAACTATATTGTTCTTCGTTATTACCATTCCTTTGTCTCACACCTCTGTTTACTGTCTCTATTTTGCATTTCTTCTACTTTGTTCTCTTGCTTTGTGTGCTACATGGAGGGAGTGTGGCGACTCGAACTGTCGCACATCGGTGCAAAGTTCTATGTCGAATACAGACAGACAGAGAGACTACTGCCATTCAAACACTGAGATAGGTCATTTTCATTCATGCTTACATAATTATTGTAATTTCAAACAGTAGTTTGCAAAGTGTGCATCCGTAGCACAGAGATAGAATGCTCGCCAACCACGCCTCATGTGGTGTGGGATTCGATCACCGGCAACAGCGGACGCACTGCTTTACCTCGCTAAGCCAGTTTTGTAAGACTGTTAAGAAAAAGAGGGAAGGTTGGGTGGGCATGAGGCATGCTACCAACCCCATCCCGTAAAAAATAAACACACCACTGCTACCGAAACTTCAGAGCTCTAGCTTGGAGTCTTATGTTCCACTAGGAACGTAAAGTAATAAAATGAAAAAAGTTTGCAGCAGCTGATGAAAACCTGTGAAACAGAATATCATTTTGGTCTTTATCGAAATTTATCAAGGGGACCAAGTATGTATGAATACTTTTTTAATAATTTTTTGTCTTACCTGATACTGTTTTATTAACGCCTTCTTAGCCTCCAAATCAATCGGCAATTGTGAACTGTATAACTCTATTTTGTTTACCACCTGTTTATGCCATTCTTCTTGACATTGAATCGCTTTCAGCATATCTTGCATTTGACTCAATATCAAATGGTATAGCGCAATGAGTTGATCGATTCTCTCTTCTGATTGGTTAATTTGATTCTTCAGTAAATTGACAACTTCACTAGCTATATTCTTTTCAGGTTCTATACAGTTCAGTGGTGATGATGATGATATTTCTTCTAAATCTTTTAATTTTTCATGAATATTCTTCATTAGGCAAACACCTTTCAGCTGTTGATTTAATTCATTTATCTTATTTTGTACTAATTCACGTGTCCATAATTCTTGTGAATCGATTAGTCTACCAGCATCGTTGACAAACAACAGTACAGGTTTCATTTCGTATAAACTCTTTTCATAAACATTAAGATTATCAAATAGATTATTGATCTCTGATGATAGGGAAATAGTGAAATCATAAAATTTTGTGTCTAGTTCAATGATCTTCTGCAATTGAGCGTTGATCTCTTTATTACGATTTATCAGACTGGTACAAGCTTCATTCAATAAATTAGTACTGTTTTTAAGAACTATTATTGCTGATGATGATGTATCAGAACTACCGCCACCATCGCCATCATCATCAACATCGCCACTGGTTTTTACACGATCAATAAGATAAGTTTTAAAGTTTAAAACAGCCAGTGATTGACGTTCTTCGAAGGATCGTAAGTGTTGACTGCGTGAAGATAAATTCTGAAGCATTCTCTGTAGGTATACACAAAAAGAGGAAAGACAAGAAAAAATTATAGGATACTTCAACAACGGAAAAATAAAGCAAACAGAAGATATCTTCAATATATTTGAACAAAGCAAGAACTACAGTTTTAGTAGAATAAAATGGTATCATCTTTATTTCGTTGCCTTCTCGTCAGCTGCTAACATGGCAAAGACATTATTAAATATATCTACAACAAGAATTTTTACATACTTGCACAGAGTTCATTTTAAACAAAAATCAATCGATCAATATACGCATACACTAAAAATATATACATATATAAATATGCAATATTAAACACTATTCCGGACAGTAATAATCATAGTAATCACAATGGGAACGTTTAGCATTTCGCATTCGGAAGAAAGAGAGATGAAAAATATCCAGTTACCAGGGCAAAAAAGACTGATAACCGCTTCTTTCTGGACGCATAAATCAAGTTTCAGGCGCTTGATGGAAATGGCTTCAGCAAACTTAAGGAGAATTGAGCTATTTTGCTTATTGATAATTTTGAACGATCTTGTGACGTTCACCTCATGACCCGTGTCAAGGAGCTGTCTGACACTGATACTGTTTAAAGCATTTGTTCCTTTGAGAAATAGGCTTTTTGGTACATGTTCAGAAAATCGTAGATATGCCCTTCTTCCTCTCCTTCCAATGTAACTGCTCCCGCAGATACATGTAAATTTGTATATACAGTTGAAGGTAACATGAGAAGGACATCCATCGATTTTCGATTGCATGAAGGGAGAGCAAGTTGTTCGACAGACGGGAACGCGCTTAGCTACAGGATAGGGTATGGCTAGTGATGTATTCAGCCTTCTGTTGGCCATCGCTGCAATGTTTTCACCTTTATAATCAAGCTGAAAGTAGATTGGCTTTTTCCCACTGTGATTTGTTTTACATTTTTGACTTCAGATCTTCCATACTTGTTGATGAACCTTTGAGAATACCCATTGCTCTTCAATATCTTTTCAAGGAACTCAAATTCCTCCTCTAGTTTCTCTACAGAGCATATTCTCCTCACTCTATAGTACAGAGTCCTAACTAGTTCGCGTTTAAAGCTGTTTGAACAAAAGTAATTAAAATGTAAGCATTGTCCTTTTCATTTAGGCTTTCGGTATGTTGACTTCTGAAGATTACCGTCTTCTAGGAGTCCCATGGCAATGTCGAGGAAGTGAAAATTCCCGTCACTTTCATGTTCCATAGTGAACTCAATATTGGCGTGTGCACCATTGAATAATCTTAGTAAGTGTGAAGCATGACTTTTATTTTTGCACACTATAAATGTGTCATCAACATAACGACAGTAGGAAGATGTTTCGTCGATTGCATGCTTCGACTTTGTTCTTTCAAGGTTTGACATGAATATATCTGCTAGAACAGGGCTAAGTAGACTGCCCATAGCTACACCATCTATTTGGCGGTAAAAAGTGTTGTCAAATTGGAATTGCACATCCATGGTACACATAAGCAGTAGGCGTTGGAATTCCGACTCGGAGTGGGAGAAGATCGGATTGCTGACAAATGATCAAATGATCCTAAGTGAATGTTTGGAAAATCTTACTGTCATAAAATATTCACTTATCCATCCCCCCACCTCCTTCTCTTTATGAATAAAGCAAAAGCAAATGTCTATGCATGCTGTGGGGGTATTTTATCGAATTGAAACTGTACATATCCATAGTGCACATTAGTAGTAGGCTATATATGTCCAAACTCCAAGTTCACTTTTAACAGTTTGGAAAAATTTGGGCATTGGGTAGTATATGATATTCATTAGAATAAAGATTTTTTTTTGTATTTCCCAATGAATGAATGAAAAACAAGACGATTTATAAACGACTTATTATAAAAAAAAAATATTTCAAACTCTTGGAACTCAGTTGGAACTATGAGAGGCTGTGATCTGTACTCATTGTTTGACGGTTTATGATACCATCACCCAACGCTGTCAAGATTGAGAATTCAACCTGGTATCGGGTTATAGTTGGCAGTCCAGTGCTTAGGCCGACAAGCCACATTTCTGCAATATTGAAATGTACTACAATACGGTGGCATATAATTTCCCATTGTTCCATTTTTTTCTAATCTACTGCTATGGTGTGAGTGGATCACGCTGATCACAACTAATTAGATGAGGGAAGGGGCAACTCGGCAACTGATATTTTGGTAGAGGTAGCGTTATAAGAGAAAGAAAATGTGAGAATGACAGGTAGTCAAGTACTTAGATAAATGGCTCATGTTATTTGGGTTCAATCCCGTGACTCAGTCTACGTAACAGAACTTATAAAAATGGAGAGAATGAATGTAAGGCACACTGAGTGGGTAACTGAGTGTGCACACTGTTGAACAGATTATTAATACTGCTGTTCGTTCCTTGTAATCCTAATTGAATAAAAGGCTTCACAACAGCACATCCACATTGTATTTGCTTGTCTGCTTCCAAAGCTTTCATTTCCTGCCCTCGCTTACATGCTGTACTCAATATCACCACCCTCTGACACGCCTAATCTGTAACTTAATACTCAGGTTCCCCCGTTAAGTATGGCGTGTCATGCCAAAAGTGAAGGTCTCTCACAGTGCTTACATCCAGCTCTATCTCCACTTCTGTCATATATATATATATATATATATATATATATATATATATATATTTGGTAACAGGTTTTGGTTATAGAGGTCAATCGCGGGCACGAATCGTTCAATGGTGACGTCTCTGACTGCAGCGCTGGATGATCCGGGTCTGAGCCTTAGGAGTAGAATGACTTTAAAACTTCAGACACACCTTACTGGCTGGTGAGTGCCGATAAGTACGAAACCTACCGGCTGCCTTCAACCATCTAACAATAATTCAGAATGCACCATGGCATGGCAAGCCACGTAGCCATAGTAGAGGCGTACATTGTAAGCTTCACTGGTAGGACTCAATCTATACCACACGAAAGACTAGAAGTTAGAATATAGGTGGCAGAATCCCCGCCGGCCATGAACACGGGAGATCAAGTTACCTAAACCTCTCCTAGTTTACCAGGCGATGATAGGTCGGGAGGAAAGGGAAGACCGGGTGTGCGGTTAGCGACCCGCCACCCTGAAGCTTGAAGCCTTAATGTACCAGTCAGAGCCGAAGGAGTGGAAAAATCAATAACTCTGATATATCTATAAATATATATCATTACTCACTTTTAAGCTTTGTAGAATTGATTGTCTCTCACTTATTATATGAGACCATGAAGATAAGTGAACATTCAATGAATTTATGAAGGACGTTGATGATGATGATGATGCTGATAAGGTTGACAATGTCATGGTCAGTGGCTTACTCAATAATTCATCCATCTTCTGTTTTTCTTCAGTTAACCAACTTTCAAGTTCACGTTTCTCTTCAACAATTCTTAAGTGTGCATTCATAGCCGATTCAATTCGATGATAATATGTATTGATTTCATTGGATAATTGATTTGCTGATTGTTTCAACTGGATCAATTGTTCATTCAATGAATCATATCCTTTCATGCTAGTTGACTGAGAAGTTACCTGTAGCAATTCTATGCATGACTGATATGATATAACACTGAAACGATCCAGTCTATTTGTTAAATCTGTTAACCATACTAACTGACGTGTATACAGTTGGTCACCTCTACTCCAACAATTATCAACATCTGTCATACTCTCATTATCCACATCTGAGTAACCTTGGGTGAAAGTTGTTCGAATTGTTGTAAGCTCTGCTTGACATGATTTGTAGGCTTCTACAAATTTCTTATGGTTATCAACAGCTAATTGCCAATGTTTTAATAAATCTCCACATTGATTTTTTAAACGTGTTAAATATTGATTAATATAATTTAAATACTTGTCTAATCGATCACTACTTATTACAATACTTCGTGGATGAGGTGACGATGATGATGAACTTATCAACTGTCGAATGATATTCAACAAAGATATTAAACGATCACGTGAATCATTCAATGTTTCAATTAACCTTGTACACTCTAGGCTATTTAAATCCGTAGATATTTGATTCAATGTTTCAATATGTCGTATTTTCTCCTCTTGACTATCAGGTAAAGGTGTCATCCTGGTCGATAGAGTTGACAATTTTGACGATTCATCGCCAACTTGTCCAACAACAGTAGTCGGACAGAATTTTAACAATCTCTTCTCTTGATCAGTTAAATATTTTTGTACGTCTGATAAGTTATTGAAAAATTCTTCGCCAACGCGTTGATATTCTTTCAGCTTTTCAATGAGATCATCGATTCTGTGTCTTAGTGTAACATATAAATGATCTTTACGTGTATTGATTTTTGCTTCAAGGTCAACAGGGTTTTGAATCTCTTCACGTATCGATTGAAACAAAGTGTCAATCGTGTGCAATTGATCCTCTGAATTTGTTAGGATAGATAACCATAATTTATTAATTTCATCAATATATGAGGATAGCTTAACACTTCTTTTAGCAGAATTACCATTCTCAACTAAAAAATCAATATCCATTTTATCCAGCATATCAGGTAATAAATAATCGATATTTTCAGCTAAATCTTCTGTAATGTAGATGATTTTATTCTCAGCATTTGATAGCCATTCATCAAATTTTTCATATTGTTCTAAAAATTTACGGTATCTTTTTAAACGATTTTCATGCAGATTGAGATGTGAATTGGTAAATTCTTTAAGGGTTTCAAAACGTTTTCGAAACGCGAGAATTTCTTCAGTTGGAAGAAATAATTCTTCATTGTTATCTGTATTTTTATGCGTAAATTGATTGCCACGATCAATAACAGTGTTTAAAAGATTCTCATGCGAATGGATATCTTGTAGACGTTGCTATAAGAGAGAGAGAGATAGGAAAACAAAGAATACAACACATTGGAGAATGTCATTTGTAAAAATGAATTATAGTGATCCTTGAGTACAGAGTTCACAAACCAAAACACACACAGATACACATTTCTAGATGAGCAGAAGGGCTTCGTGTGCTTTTGCAAGCGTGTGTATGGGAAGTTGTTACTTCCCAGCTGCCCACACACAGTGGAAGTTGACCTTTTCTTGGGATAAAGGGTGCAGGACAAACATTTTTTAAATCGTTGATAATTGTTCCTCTCAGGGGGGGAAATTGGGGACTTATTTTCTCAACCAAGTAAAAAATAGAAAAAGATTTGATCAACGCCCCCTAAGGCACCGGCCCCATTCCCATATATATTTAAAATTACCCATCATCCAATCAAATACCGCTTTTGGCCACTTCAATGTGTATTTATCAATTCACTTACTCGTGTAGAGCAAAGTATGTCGGCCGTACGCAATGTCAAGTCCACAATCGTATTCTGGAACATCGTTCAGCTTGGCAAGCCAGCCAGAGGAGAAAAGAAGATTAGTAGCAGTTCTATCCTCGAACACCTTTTGATCTCCAGACATCGAGCAACTCCACTAGCATGAATGCTTCACAGTGCTACACAGAGTCCCTCAATATCCTATAAAAGGACTTCGGATATGCCATCTGTACATAGCTGAAGCATTAGCTCTTCGAGATCTGAAACCAGACCTCTGCATTCAAAAGTGATACATACACTCTCTCACCTTACTGATTTTTTTTCCTTCACGCTCCCAGTGGAACATAGGGCTTCAAGCTAGTGCCTTGAAGTTTCTGTAGCAGTGTTTAATTTTACAGGATGGGGTTGCTAGCCTCATGTCTAACCTTTCCTCTTTACCAGCATTATTTCTGGCTTGGCGAGGTAAAGGAGTGCGTCGGCCGGGGATCGAACCCCAGACCATGTGCATGGTCAGCGAGCGTCCTAACCGCTGTGCCACCAACGCACTTCACCTTACTGTGGCCAGAGTAAAATTCTTACTATAATTTTGCTTCTTTCTTTTTACTATGTAAGTTCACTATTATTATTATTGTTCTTAATGCTTTTATTGTCATTATTATTCCCATCATCCACATTTTATTAACATTCTATTACTGTGTATTAATAACATTGCTTTTTCATACAGATTTTATACAAAAACACTTTATAGCCTTTCCACTAGTTCCTGTCCATTCTACATGAGCTCATTGACTAGTCATCATCTCATACTTATTACGTCATGCCAATGTCTCCCTCTTTTCTAACTTCCACTTAGTCATCCCATTCTAGAATACTCTTTACATTATGTAATACATTTTTCGAGGACAAAGTTTACCATTATCTGATTTGTCTAAAGATTTCTTTCTTTAATATAATTACGATTATTGTACAACAGCTTATGAAAATGAATCGTCGAAAAGCAAATTTTTTCGCTGTTTGTGCCTTTTTCTTATTGGAATATCCCGTAACAGCCAGCCAGCCAGTGTCACAGGCGAGGAACTGCCTCTTGTCTGACTTGGTAGACCCTTCTGATTACAACTTCTCACTAGAAATCCAGGTAACTTCCTGTACAGGGGTCAGATAAAACAGCTGTCCAGTATTCCCAGGTTTCCCAATGCTTCCTCTAACTGATGACAGAACTTATGATTAATCCTATGAATAGTAACAGTAATAATGATTTAAATCAATATATTGATTATCAAATTAAAAGAAGTCTTTTTGTTTAATAATAATACCTTGTACAGCGTGATGTAATACATTCTCTTTGTTGAATCATCTTCAACAATTTCATCTGATGCTTCTTCTTCTTCGGTTAAGTGATCCACTTTCCAGGCTACCTCAACATTACTTAACCATTGTTCAAGACGTGATTTCGAATCAGTATACGATGTCCATTGACCTAAATCTAATTCTGTTTCACTCAGTTGTATTCCAATCTCATCCATATAGGCATCAAGACGATTACGAAGTGATTGAGAGCAATTACACAGATGATTGTGTAATTCAGTGATAAATTTTGATCTATATGAATGACAAGTGGTTGCAAAGGATGATTGATCGTCAATAATTAGTGATGCTGTTTGATGATCGGATTTTTCATCTGTCATCAATAATTTTGCATTATCATCATCGTCAATAGAAGAAGATAAAGTGATGTCAGCGGCAGTTTTGCGAAGGAAAGATTCTGATGTCAACAGTAAACAGCAGGCCTGTTCAATAGCACTTTGAGCTGACTGGACTTTAGACTGTCCAGCAGACGAATTTTCATTGAGTTTCTAGACGAAAGAAGGAAACAGAAAAATAGAGTATTATTCACAAAGAAATGACTATAGTATATTATTATTATTATCATATCCTTTAATTCCTAGAGGAACATAGGGCTTCAGCCAATCGTCTCCATTGCCTTCTGTTTTCTGCCAACATTTTCACCCCACTCCAAGTCCGCCCAAATGGTTTCATCTCTTGTTCACATGACCCCCTCCAAGTCACCCTTGCACTGACGACCAACTCGCCACTTCCCTTTCGGGTTCCACTCGAGCGATGGCTTGTCTAGTGATGTCACTTGGTGGTTTCTTCAGATTATGGCCAACCAATCCACCTACCTCCATTTATTCCTGCCTATTTGTTTCACAATCGGTTCCTGTGGTGTTGGTTCGCTCATTGCCAGAGATCCTTTCCTGGTGTTGATCTTTTCTGGCCGGCCATCTGATCTTGAGTATTGAGCGAAGACAACTGTTAATGAAGGTCTGTAATTTGTTTGAGGTGCTCCTTATGACGCGCCAAGTCTTTGGTCCGTATAGTAAGAAGCACTGACTTCACATTGGAGTTGAAAACACAGATCTTATTTTCATCATGCTGAGTGCTGTTGTTCTCCATACAGACTTGAGAGTAATGAAAGCTTGTCTTGCTTTTCGATTCTGGCTTTGATATCCTCGTCAGTTCCGCCCGCCTGTAGTTGAAACGATGCTTCCCAGGTAGGTGGGCAGGTAAAGGAGATTGTTTCTTACAGGTTCCTCTCATTTATGCTGGCTGATTGTTGTCTGTTGTTGTTGTTGCTGTTGGTGTCGGCCAGGAATCTTCATCACCTCTGCTTTCTGTCTGTTCACCTGAAGTTCTATCTTTGATGCTTCTCCTGCCAACTTGTTGCTTTTCACTTTCATATCTTCCAGTTTGTGGGAAATCAGACATATATCATCGGAGAAGTCCAGATCCTCCAAGTCTCCTTTTGTGTGGGTCCATTTTATGCCTGTTTCCTCATTGGCCGTTGTTTGTCTCATTATCTAATCTACTGCAACCAGGAAAATCATTGGAGATAGTAGACAGCCTTGTCTCACTCCCGTCTTCACTTCGAAGGCTTCCGTAAGTTTCCCGTTGTGGATTACTTGGCATGCAGCATTGTGGTATAACAGTTGGATGAGATGTTGGTGGCACCCCGTAGTAGCGAAGTAATTGTCAAACGACCTCTCGATAAACGCTGTCGACGCTTTATATTAAAAAGGTTAATTTAAATACCTATTCACGTATCGGCGGCGTACAGCCGTAGAATGCTCGCCAACCATGCCTCATGTGGTCTGGGGTTCGATCCCCGACCACATCAGGCGTACTCCTTTACCTCGATGAGCCAGTTTTGTAAGACTGGTAAAGAGGGTGGGTTGGGCATGAGGCTAGCAACCTTCTATCTCAAAATATTCACATCACTGCTACCGAAACTGCAAGTCTCTAGCTTGAAGCCCTATGTTCCACTGGGAAGGTACACGAATACAATATATAAAAAAATACCTATTCTGTTGAACTCATCAACAACAACCAAGTTTGGAGGCATGAAACTTGGCCACATACTATTTACCAATCAATCATTGTGAAGAGGGCAAAGTTCGACCTAAGACATACCCAAGAGGCGTAAATGTATCAATCACTTTTGAATGAGTACTGGTCAGTATGGTCCAATCTATCCTTATAGCTAACACGAATAAAGCTCTAGTTAGGTTAACCTAACCCTAACATGTTGACTCGATTGTAGAACAGCTATTGTTTTCAGGAAACACCCACCCACCCTGGACGATCCTATGTACAATATTTTTACTTATTTGAATATTCTAACTAAATTCTACCTTCTTCCTAGAGCTGTTCTAATGTTTGTATATCATCAGTTGACTTAGTCAGGATTATTTCTGGTTAGTTCTCGTTGAGTCCTTAATTTTCATACTTCTTTTTGTAGGTGTCTGATGGTGTTCATAACAGTGTGTTCTCTTATATGACTGTAATTTTGTTTAAGTGAAGTCAAGGTTATGGGGTTATGGGATTTTGAACTTGGACAATCACAGCGAAAAAGTGTTTGGTGCGTTTGATTTTTGCAGACAGAGAGTTTTGATCCCAATTTGTTGGGAATATTCTATTCGACTGTCAAGGTAACTCCTACGGATCTGAGGTAATTTTGAATTTTTGATAGGTTATAATTGTTCGGTAGTTAGTACCAAACAATTATCGCATATAACTATCTGTCTGTTACCATTTTGAGAATTTCAGGGCTGTGGTTCACTCGGGTAGGTTTAGTTGAATATACAAAAGAACACATCAACTGAGTCCCTGTGTTCAGCACAGAATACTTCAGTCCTTAACCCCCCTATTATATATACTACTGATAAAGCTTACCAATAGCGCAAGCCACAATATCACTTAACTTCTTCAAATCTGATTGGTTCATTTGTTTTAGAGATAAACATGTCGAAACCAATGACTTTTCTCCGAAACCGAAAATTGCATATCATAGTGCATACATCAAAACCCCACCCGCACTTCGTGAGCGAAGATGCTTTTACTATTATTATTCTCTTAGGTTCCGCGAAAGGAACACACAGAACTTCAACAGAACATCTCCACTTCATCCTCTTCTCTGTGGTCCTCTTTAACAAATTCCGCGATTACCCACAAACTCTCATCTCCTGAATTTCATACTCAGATCAATGGCGTTATCCTTTTTAGTTCCACTCCAAGTACTGGTGCTAGGCAGATGATGTCATTTGTTTGGGTGGGATCGTTTCAAATTCGGGGGACAGTACTAATGAGAATGCAAAAGATAGGATCGATAAAACGAAACAAATACACCATTGGTGTAAAATCAGTTTGGAAATCTAACTCACCCAGAATAAAGAACAAGATTCAGATTTCCAACAGTAATATCAAGCAAACCAGTGCTTCTCTATATGGTTCAGGGATTTCGCGTGTCTTAAAAAGCCCTTCAAACAGGCTACTGAAGACTTTTATCAACAGCTGACCCCTTCGCTAGCTCCATACAGATGGCCCATCGACCAGAAAGGATTAGGAACAAGGCACTCTGCAGTGAAACAAATCCACCAACAACCTCTTGTCTAGGAACTTTGCAGAATGAAATGAAGATAGGTGACTTCATCATCGACTGACATCGGTTAGAGGGCCATTGGAAAACCAGCAAAGAGTACTCGTCAGCTGTTCCGTCCTAGTGTTTAGATCTGTTCATCAGCACGCACCCACCACCAAGGGGCAAACCCACGACCTACCAACTACAAAGCCAGCTAGCTCGTAGACCATTAAGCCACTACCGGGATCCAATTCAATGGCCAGCTCATGAATTACAACTTCTGCCAATTCATCATATGGCGCGACCACTAACTAGTGTCATCGGCGGCGAGTATTTGTCCTCACACCCGACCTGCTCTGCCCCACTGGTCACAAGTTCCCACTAGAATTCAGATAACTGCCTATCTGAATAGGATGACATTCAGGACTGGTTACTGATTCGGGTCCCAGTGGCCTAATGGTCCACGAGCTAGCTCGTTGCCTTGTAACCAGAAGGTTCTGGGTTCGAACGTCAGTGAATGCGTATTGTTGAATAAGAGTCTCAAAGTAGGATGAAACGGTTTTCAAACATTTTCAGATTTTTCAGTGGTCCTCTAACCGAGTTAGCTAAAGACGAATGCAAAGAACAGGATAAAAGGGGGGGATGAACTGTCGGAAGTCCTACGTTCCATTTAGAACCTGAAGAGGGGGGGAAAGAAAGAGAGAAAGAAACAATTAAAGCACTCTGACAAAAACAAAACTTACCTGAAATAAATCAAGATATTTTGTAGCCTTATCATGACTTGCCGACGTTTTCTGTTTCTCCAGTATAATATTCTCCAGTTGACTTACAGCTTCTGACAACCAATCATCCGCTTCCTTGTATAACCGTTGTTGACTTTCAAGAGCAGATATCAGCTCATTAGTATGATGAATTGCTTTTCTCAGACATACAATTAAATCGGCTAATCTTAATTCAATATCCAATAGGATAGCAGATTTATAAACAACAACAGATTTACTCGACTTAGTAGTATTGACGGCATCAGCAGTTTCAGTGGACTCTTCAATGGCAGTAGGAGTATCATCAGAGAGTTGAAAGGCTGATTCAAGACTTGATGATGTATCACATAGTTTGACTAATTGATGAAATGTTTCATGAGCTTGTTTTAATTCACTTTTTGTTCCCTCTGAATTAGTAAGTAATTGCTGTGTAAGAATAAAAAACACACACAAAAAAATAATGAAAGTAGAACAGTTCAGTGGGAATTGTTATTCAACACAATATAAGTGAGATTATTTATGCTTTTATCAGTAGAAGGCGGATGAGAATTCTCGATTACCGAAATCGACAATTATGACGACTATTTGGTAATATGCTATTCTAACTTTGATTGGACAGTATTAACTAGTGTGACGTGTCTAGTCCTCTCTTTAGTGCAGACTGAATTCTGTTAGTCAGGTTTGCAATGTGGCCACCATTCCACTAGGTACCTCGCTATCACGGTGCACATTGATTTGATGATATTAGATAGTTGGAGGGAATCGGCCACAGGAAGCCTTGGCTACACCTAGGTTTCGTGCTAGTTGGCACTCACTAGTCAGCAAGGCGGCGTATCTGCAACCTTGAAGGAACTCATGTCCCTTCTGGGATTCGAACCCGCGTCACCCAGTGCCACCTTCAGTCACAGACGTTACCACTGAGCTATTCAGACTCGCGATTGACCTCCTGTATGACTGTAGTGGGTACTTTGATTGGACCCTAGTAACTAGAGTGACATGTCTAGTCATTTCTTTGGTGCAGACTGAATTCTATCAGTCAGGTTTGCTATTCTAAATAATAATAATAATGATACAGCAAGGAATTTTCAGCATTCAGTACAATATTGCATCTAATTTACTCAAAAACGATAAAAAATTAAAAATAAACATTACATAATAATAATAACAAAACGTTGTTATAGCAGCTGTTGGCAAATTACAGTATGCGATAAGGAGGAAAATATGCATAAAGTATGAAGTTGTAGTAATAATAGTAATAACAACTAAAATAAAATAGCAAAGTTATAATTCAACGATAGAAAGGGTGACACCATAAAATTACAGAAAGATGAACAATGAAAGGGACGATTCACTGTGCTAATTACATAGTAACTTATGTGTTTCACGTCTAACAGTGTCTTCATCACATAAAATACGGGCTAAATACGGTATTGTAGTGGTGCGAGCATATAACTTCTTATATTGACTTCTCGTCCTACCTGATGAGATGCAAGAGGATAGTTGTGAATAAAAGGGGTACAGCGGGTCTGACAGTACGGCCTTTGCTCATTTTGTACAGGAATTTATAATAATACTGGCGAACTCACGCAGTGGCACACAACAAATCCTACTCACAGCGTTTGATACTCTTCGTAATATGATATAATCTTTTTTGAGAAGTCCAGGAAAGATTAATGGAGAGCAATAGAGTACAATAAGTAAAATACAGGAGTTTACAAATTGCAGAACGAAAGGTTGGTTGATACCTGATTGTCTTAACTTTTTAATGTAGAAGGTAAGACGAAACATTGTCTTAGAGATTTATAAGATGTGGGATGACCATAAAAGGTCAGAGGAAAGAACTAATCCAAGGTATTTAATGCTTGACTTGGTTTCAATTTCAGTGCCATCTATGCTACAGGTATCATGCGAACTAACTAGTTCATGTAAGTCACGCCGATGCTTGAAAGTAAAGTTAACTGCCTGACATTTGGAAGGAATTAACATAAGACCATTTGACTTAGACCACTTGCTGATGTCCAACAGAAAGCTATTAAGTTTGGAGCAGTCAGACTCGAAAGTGACAGGCAGTGAGACAGTCAGATCATCTGCATGTTTGACAAAGTTAGTTTCGTTTAAATGAGGTAGGTTATGCAGGAAGAAAGAAAAAAGAAAAGGAAAGAGCTTGGTACCTCCTCCGTACCCCTAACTTGTCCCAATACCTCTTATTTGTGCCAATCATACATACATCCCAACACTTATCAAGGACCGACGTTGAAGGTAAAAGATACCTGAATGTGAAACATGACCAGTGAAAATGGATGATATGAGAAAGGCTTGTCTGTCTTTGTCTATGACCACATATGTTTGCATTCTATCTCCTCCTGTGTTAAGTGGTACACTATGATGAGTAATATTAAGGTTAGGTATAGAGTGTAAGGAAAAGAATGGAAGGTTGTGTGAAGCTACATTGATTGATATAGGTATGTCATCATCCAAGTCATCAACTTCTCCAGTGGGCAATCCCACCCAACGTAGGAATCTATTGAAAGAGGGTTCAGGAGGAGGGGGAAAATCAGAACCTAGAATCAGCCTGTATCTTTTAACAAGAAACCTCTATATACGAGACTACAATTCAAAAACGATGTACCAAGTGGATTAATAATAATAATAATAACAATAACCAACAAGTTTATAGAATAGGCTCAAAGAACTTCTAATTCCGGTAAGCTACATCTCATATTTTCTGTACAACCAATTGTAATTCTGAAATTGAAAGACGAAGTACTTACCCAGGCTAACCACCTCTTATGGCATCTATAAATTCAACTGCCCCTGAGCAACCAGTTACATTGACCGTTGCTTTAGAAACCTAGCTATTCGTGTGCGGTAACACGGTGTAGTTAAAGCGACCCACAATTCTTCAACATTACAACATCTGGTCCAAACAGGTCATAAAGCTAGTTAGCATTGAAAAGACTTTTTCCATCGTTTGCCAGTTACCGAATAAATTACCAAATGCCTCCAAACACCGAAGACTCCAAACGGTAGAGACCATAGTAATAGGGTTGTAAAAAAAATCGGAGCTCTATGTGCCAAAGAAACAGATCCAGCTACTACTGCTACCCTGACCTGTTGTGGAATCTAGAAATTGGATGAAGGATTTCATCATGAGCTGAAATCAGTTAGATAATCACTGGAAAACCTGGGAGTACTGGACAGCCATTTGTTCCTAGTTTGGGACTCCTCGGAACTACGCACCCACCATAAATTCAATTCTCTACTATTTTCCTTGTATCGGTGTCACAGAAGTAGAATGCTCACCAACTATGCCTCATGTGATCTGGGCTTCGACGCCCGGCCACAGGAGACGCACCCCTTTATCTCGCTAACCGAGTAATAAGACCGGTAAAGAGGGGAGATTGGGCATGGGGCTAGCAACCCTATCTCGTAGAAATAAATGCCACTGTTCCTGGAACTTCAAGCCTCTAGATAGAAGTCCTATTTGACTTAAAGAACATTAATGTTGTTAATAACAATGAATGCATATGACTGTAGAACCTGATGAAGAGGAATTTTGTCGACAAGAATCTTTTATTCCTTAATATCAATCTTTTAAATATTTTATTTAATGGACATCTATGAATGAAAACCAGGGAGTACTGGACAGCTGCTGTTTCATCCTAGTTTGGGAATCATCGGTAGTACGCACCCACCACAGGGAGTTCGAACCCAGGACCTTCCGGTTACAAGGAAAGCTAGCTCGTATACCATTCAGCCACTGGGACCCGATTCAATGGCCAGCCCATGAATTCTAACTTCTACCAATTCGTAATTTAGCGCGATCCCAACTGTTGTCGTTGGTGGGACATCCATCCACACACGTGACATCTGGATGGACCTCACTGGTCACGACTTCTCACTAGACATCAGGAAACTCCAACCTGTAGCAACAGCAGCTGTCCAGTACTCCCTGGTTTTCAATGCTTCTCTAACTGATATCAATCCGTGATCAACTCGTAAAAACATAACTAACCCTTACAAACCAAAATATAGAAAATCTATTAATGAAGAAAACACCGGGGAAAAAAGTTTTCCACCTACCTGTAATTCATTAAGACGACTTTTACACAAATCAATAGTGATTGTCTTTGACCAAAAAAGTAATCGTTTCGATTGACTTTCATAATTTTTAAGTGTTTTTGTTAATGTACTTTCATACTGTCGAGATTTTACAATTATCTGGCGTGCTGTATTAACTCTTGATTCAAATTGTTTCAATTGACTACACAATTGAATTAATTGACCTTCCCATAAACGAATCAATTGATTTGCTGAATTCGATTGATTAAATGATAAGGTATCTGAGTTGAGATTTGTTAACAAGACCAAGGGATCATCATTACTAGCAACGTCTGTATTTGAGGTAATTACAGTGAGTAGTTGTTCATCCACTTGATCTTCAATAGATTTTAAAAGAGATTCAGTTGTTGGTGTTGTTTGATGAATGGCTTCAAGATCTGTTGATGGGGATGGTTGTAGTTGATTTGAGTCTTTTGTAGAATGATGATCGCCTTCTGGTTGATTGTTGACGGTGGGATCAATATCGATGAATTGTGAACGTAGCATAATTTTAGCTAATTCTTTTAAATAATCCAGTTTAGAATCACATTCTTGAGTTTTCTCTACTAAATTCTAAAATAATATATAATAATAATGGTGATTTGAATGAATGCAATACACTTTACAATATAAATATATTATAAATGAATGGCTAAAATAGTGTTGAAACAATAGTCACGCTAAGTTCGACTCTCAATGGGTGCGTCTTCATTAACTGTATGTCGCCAAACAACCCCATGTGGCCGAGGTTTCATTCTAGGTGAACGCACTCCTAATACTTCTTTGCCCAGCCAGTACCAAGCCCAGTAAGGAGGGAAGTTTGAGCGTGAGACTAGCGACCCCACCGCACAGAGATAAAACCACTGGCTGTTGAAATTTCAAAACTCAAGCCTGAAGAATTATGTTCGACTAGGAGTCCACAACAAGGAAAAAAAGCAAAATGAGATACAGGTACTTTCACTAGTAGGTGTTTGTCCCCAAAACAAAGTAACTTAAATTATGAGGTACCGATTCCACCGCTAACTACCATCGCATAAGAATAATATTAATAATGGTTTTATTCCAAACAGTACTTCCGATACAGTCTGAAATTTTCAGCATGCAATACAATAATCCATCTAATCTATTCGTTACTACTATTATTTCCTTTAGTTCCTAGAGGAACATAAGGGCTTCAGCCAAATGTCTCCATTGAGTTCGGTTCTCTGCCAACGTTTTCACCTGGCTCCACGTCTGCCCACATGCTTTCATCTCCTCTTCACATGACCTCCTCCAAGTCACCCTTGGACGACCAACTCGTCGCTTCCTATTCAGTCAGGTTACACTCGAGCGATGGACTGGCGTGTGATGTCACTTGGTGGTTTTTTCAGAGTATGACCAATCCACCTCCATTTCTTCCTGCTTATCTGTTGTACAGTTGGTTCTTGCCGGGTTGGTCGGTTCGTTCATTGCAAGAGATCCCTTCCTGGTGTTGATGGTTTCTGGTCGGCCATCTGATCTTCAGCGAAGTGCTGAGCGAAGACATCTGTTGATGAAAGTTTGTAGTTTGCACGATGTGCCTTTCGTGACGCTCTGGGCAAGTCTCTGATCCCTGTAGTAAGTATCACTGAATGACTTCACATTGGAGTTGAAAATCCGGATCTTATTTTCATTTTCATACTGAGTGCTGTTGACTTCCACAACAGACATGAGAGAAATGAAAGCTTACCTTGCTTTCCCAATCCTCCCTTTGATATCCTCATCAGTTCCGTCGGCCTGTAGTTGAAACGATGCTTTCCTGATAGGTAGGTAGTTAGGTGAAGGAGGTTGCTCCTTTCAGATTTCTTCCATTCATGCTGACTGATTTTTGTCCGTCGTTTTTGCTGTTGGTGTCGGCCAGGAATCTTCATCACCTATTTCTGTTTTCTCTAAGTTCCCCTGAAGAAGTCCTATCTTTGATGCTTCTCCTGCCAACTTGTTGCTTTTCACTTTCATATCTTCCAGTTTGTGGGAAATCAGACATATATCATCGGAGAAGTCCAGATCCTCCAAGTCTCTTTTTGTGTGAGTCCATTTTATGCCTGTTTCCTCATTGGCCGTTGTCTGTCGCATTATCCAGTCTACCGCCCTCAATCAGGAAAATCATTGGAAACAGTAGGCAACCAGTCTTATCTTACTCTAATTTGTTCTTTACATCTACATATTACAGGGGGAAGGCATAATTAACACGGCATTTAAAGTGTTAATAATGCCGATCAAGAATAGGAATGTAAAGTCAAAATTAAGCCTTAAGAGAAACAGTGACAAGAATATGTTAATGATTGAGAGAATAAAAATGGCCGTTTACTCACTGTCTCGCAGTAGCTTTAGTAGTTTCATGCTTTACACTTTTCTCATCATATAAAATACATCCCAAATAAGGTAGAGTCGAGTTCCTGATACTTAGTCGTTCGAGCGCAAAGTGTCCTACAAACTGCCTTTGTCTGTCTGTTTTCAACACAGAACTTTGCATCGATGTGCACCAGTTCAAGTCGCCACACTCCATGCAGCACACAAAGCAACAGAAGAAAGTACAAGAAATGCATAATACAGACAGTAAACAGAGGTGTGAGACAAAGGAATAGTAATAACGAAGAACAAAACAGTTTCATTGGAAATCATAAGTCACAAGGAGTGGATGTATCTGCACCAGTCATTGACAACAATTTTGGGCCATATCACCGATTGTCTCCAGCCTTCATTGGTATTTACCGTCCCGAGGACCCCAACCAGTCAGGAAGTCTACACCTCCCTAGGTGGATAGCTGTCTTTAACTGCAGTGGATTTCATTGACTGGTGAGGCTATGTTTTGGTTTGACCGCCACCAATAGCTCTTTTCCAGCCTGACCCCTATGTCACCTAACATTGCCCATCGAGAAAGGCGATCGATAGCTAGGCATGCGTAACACATGTCCTAACCACCTCAGTCAATGTAGCTCCACAGTTTCGTCGATTGATTTCCCCTCCCACCTACCTAGCACTCGACCGACGCCTCACCTCAATATTGCTCACCCTATTATACCACTTCACATGGGAGATAGAACACAGGCATCTATGATCAAAGACAGTTAGTCTTTTCATGTCTCTCACTCTCTCTCTCTCTCTCACTCGCAACTACCTCTAATCCTACCTGATGAAATGATGTAAGCAGAGAGTTGTCTACAGAAACGATGCTCAGAGAATGATGATGATGACGACAAAAACTAACTTCAAAATAGCTAGAAGACACATTGTCTATCTATCAGTTCACATTAAATACTCAGATTAACAGGGGAATGTGTGTATATGCGGTAATAGGCAATAAGGTAACAAGTACAATACGCTTAATCCACAGAAAATAAAGCAAATTTCATAAAGATTTCAGTGAGGTTTATTTAAATTAAAAAGAGACTCAGAAAATGTTTGATGTACCATCTTCTTTCTTGTATTTATACAAAGTATTTATCTTCCAATAAAGTAATCCTGTGACTCCATACACAGACAACAATAATAATAATGACAATATCAACTTCCTGTCTATTTTGTTAGGTATCTATTGGAACGCTCCTTGTGGGATAAAAACGTAATGTCTTGTTTCAATGTGGTAACAGATTCGCTTTGTGTTATGTGATGTATATATTTTGAAGTAAAAAAAAACCCAACAGAATTTAATCAAATATAGAAAAGAGGCCGACGACAATTGTGATAAATTATGTCCCTGAGTAACCAGCAATTAGCAACAATAAAAAGATATTTGTGTGTTCCTTTCATGGACAAATTCTTTTTTATGTCTCTATTTGATAGGATCCCACATATTTTGGTATTTACTGTTAATCTTGTATATATGGTATATTATCATTCTCACACATTTTGGTAGTGACTGTTAATCTTGTATATATGGTATATTATCATTCTCACACATTTTGGTAGTGACTGTTAATCTTGTATATATGGTATATTATCATTCCCACACATTTTGTTATTGACTATTAAGATCAATTATTTCAAATGCTGTTAGCCGTCCATATTGTTGTAAAAGGTATAAATACCATGGCTTTCTTTGTCGTTGTTGCACTTCAATACACAGTCACAGTCCAGCCTTTGTCTTTTGATATTTGCGTGCTTTACTAAATCGGAAGGTACGACGAGCAGATAGGCAGATTAGTTCAGGCGCAGACAGAGCAAGGTGAAAACGTCTTCATTTAATTCACTACAGCTATAACACTATTGTACCAATATTCCTTACTGGTATATTTACAGATTATCTACTCTAGTTAAACTGTGAACTTTCTCTGACTTTATACAACAACCTCCCAGCTAGATTCTACCAAAATAAATAGCTTTCTGTCAGGAGTCAGTAAATGGTCTGAGTCTAACGGTCTTAAACTGAATCCTTCTAAATGTCAGCTTAAGGTGTAAAAGACAGTTAAAAGAAGCCGTCGATTCTCATGACAGTTGTAAAATTGACGACAATGATATAAGAATTAAATCAGAAATTAAGTATCTTGGACTTATTCTGTCTTCTGATCCCTCCTGGTCTTCCCATGTCTTAGCGATCTCCAGTAAAATATTCCGCCTAACATTTTATATTAAGAAGAGGTTAAGACACTCGGGTATAACTCAACCCCTCCTCCTACAGTTAGTTCATAAACTCTTGCATCCTACCTATTCTTATTTATTGTTCTCCCTTATTCTTTCCTGGTTTGCTTAAAAAGGACTATGTCACAATTCGTAGAATGCTGAAGACTGTCAGTAGGGTGAATCGTGTCCCAGTGGACCATATAGTTAACATCGTTGTCGATAGGCACTTGACTTCGTGCAATAAATTTGGTAAAGGGATTTTGTCTGACTTCGAGCATTCACTTTACCCTCAGCTGTCACCTTGCACCTCCTCAGGTAGAACAAGAAGTAACTTCAGAAAACTGTATGCTCGCACGTCTAAGTATAAAAATTCTATGATACCATACTCGGCACGTATTTTATGTGATCTTGAAAATAGTGTCAGGCAACAATTAACTAACCTTTTTTCATCTGGTAAATAAACAATTTCCTCCATCCATCCATCCTTATATACCTTCAAGTTTTACTTTTATTATTTCTATTATATTTGTGGTCCTGCTAGTTCTTTGTTTTACTCTCATAATTGCAAACACCAACTTATCTCTATGACTGCTGTAATCTTTGTTTTCCCCCTCACCATATCATGTACAGAGAACATTATATTCAATATTGTTTAACATGCTTGGATTTCTACAGCGCATTGACAACGCTGACCGTTATGCCACCAACGCCAGTGTCGGTGGCCACGGCCACGGACGCACTCCTTCACCTCGCTAAGCCAGAAATAATGCTGGTAAAGGGGAAAGGTTGGGCATGAGGTTAGCAACTCCATCATGTAAAATAAACACTGCTACAGAAACTTCAAGCCACTAGTTTGAAGCCCTATGTTCCACTGGGAACGTGAAGGAGAAAAAAAATTGACAATACTGTGTGTAACAAGCCCACGGCAATTTTAACTTGTATTATTATTATTACCTTAGCTGTTATTATTATTATTATTTCCATTTTATATGCTGCATGTTTTTGACACTACCTCTATTGTAAATGTGGAAAATTTTCTGTGTGAATAATTTTTATTTATAATTTGAGGAAATTGGATGCAATATTGTGATTAAATGCTGAAAATTCCATTCTGTATCACAAGTACTGTTTTTGGAATAAAGTAAATCATTATTATTATCATATATACACAAATACTTACACATATTTCCCTAGATAATACACCCTGAAATAATAGAGAAAATTTATATCCCAGTTGGATAGTATGGATTTAGTTGTTTTCCTTGAGCAGGGAGGTGGTTTAGTTGTGAATCTTTTGTCATCCTTCTTCTGGGGACAACATCATTGCAGCGCTAACTGAAAGAAGGGCGTACCTACGATTTTCTGAAAATGTACCAAAAAGCCTATGTCTCAAAGGAACAAATACTTTAAACAGTATCAGTGCCAGACATCTCCTTGACACGGGTCATGAGATGAACGTCACAAGATCGTTCAAAATTATCAGTAGGCAAAAGAGTTCAATTCTCCTCAAGTTTACTGAAGCCATCTCCATCAAACGCTTGAAACCTGATTTATGCGTTCAGAAGGAAGTGGTTATCAGTCTTTCCTTGCCCTTGTAAGTGGATATTTCCACCCTCTCTTTCGTCTGATTACGTAATATCGAGACTTTCCATTGCGTATGATCATCATTGTTCGGCACAAAGTATTTATTATTATTATATATTGTTACTTTATGCATATGTTTGATTGATTTTTGTTTAAAATGAACTCTGTGCAAGTTTGTTGTTTCTGCAGATTTATTCAATAGTGACTCTGGCCTGTAAGCAGATGATGAGAAGCCGATGAAATGAATGACGGTACCATTTCACTCTACAAAAACTGTTGTTCTTGCCTCTCATTGAACTTATTTGAATTCTCCGTGTGACTGATCTCCTGGGAACATTTTCGTCATTTTCTATTATCAATTGATTTATCTATTATCATTATTAATCGATAATATTGATCTACGCTAAGTGATGTGCCTGTTAATCACTGATTCATCCTAGTGTTAGGCTTCTAGGAATTCCCTGATAATTCGTTTGGTGTTTCCAATGTTTACAATTCCTACATTTTCTCAAACAAATTGATGACCATGTGTCTTGTCTACGTGTATCGATATGAAAGAATGAATGTCGTGTTTTTCGTAGGTGAATTCATGTTCTCGGATTCTGAATCACAGGCGGGGGGCGCCATCTCATAAATAAACTGCATAAACTATGATTAACACACTATATTGGTCAAAGTGGGCTTGTCCTTTGACTCAAACTACTCTAAGAAATATAAACTACCTCTGAAAAGACATAACATATATTCTTCCATATTGATGTAGATATTTTCAAGACCGTCCTAAATTTCAGTACTAACTGCCGTCATCAACCATACCAACCTTAAGGTATCATCGAAGCATCTATACTACACACATCATGGAGTCTTATTTTTACTGCTTCGAATCATCATCTTTCGTCTGCTAGCCAAAATTGGTAGACAGCAATTTACATCAATGTTTACGTCCCAAATATTCGTCATGAGAAAAAAAAACAAAGACTAACTGAACACCCAATCACGGCAGACTTTGAGTGGGCGGATACGAATAGCGGATACATGGTCTGACCTTCAAACGAATGGCCACACAGAGATGATAGAATAACTTCCAATGGGAAAACGACCAATCAGAAGACGCTGTTTCTCTGCTAATAAAAACGAATAGTAATGCACATAAAAATCTATAAATACCTCTTGATTTTCTCAATAAACGATCAGTTGCCTGGCGCCTGTCTTCTGTCGTTACACTACTACTCACTAATCGACATGAGTAGTTGTATACCACTCACATCAACCAGCCATATGGAAGTGATCTAACCACTGGAAGGCCATTTCATCCGTTTTTGGTTGAACTCATTAGCGGTGTGTACCCAGTTTGGCTCAGTTCAGAGAGCCGAATCAACTGGCACCACCTGATTTCTACCTAGTTATATGGGTGAAGTTGTGATGCCACATATGAAACTCGCAATTTACACAGTCGGAGGAGGTGAAAATCTCCTCATAGTGTGTCCTTTGTAAACCAAAATTATTCAGGTGAAAATATGTGACCCTCATATCAAAAATGATAATCAAGAAACTAAGCGTGAATGCATAAAACTGCATATATACTACTGATTGACTGACTGATTGAGATGAGTAGTTGAATACCAACCAGATCAACCAGTAGTACAAATCCATGTATTCACTAGGTAGAAATACTGTAGTACTATTCAAATTTTTAAATAGATGAGAACTAAATTCGAGTTTATGACTAAGTGAATGCACCTGAAGCGCAGACGACGGCGACGAGTCGCAGCTAAAATACACCACCTGATTAGTTATACTGTTGGTCAGAGTGAGAAGTTAGAATTCATGAACCAATGGATTCCGTGACAAGTGGTCGAACGATGGCTACGAATTCACCATGTAACCGGAAAGTCTTGGGTTCGATCCCTGGCAGTGAGGTCATGGGTGTGCACTGCCAAAGAGTTCCAAACACAGACAAAACAGTAATTCAGGAGATTGGTTCTCTAACTAAGCTCAACAGCTGCTTGTAAGCTCTCATTTGAATTACCTTTCTTTCACAAATTCACAAGCAACTCTAAAACAAACCAAAGAATTGAATACAACATTCGATTTTGGTACTCAACTACTTTAGGCACAAAACTAACTTAACCTATTACGGCATGAATGTCTAGATTAAAATATATCGTAGGAAACCACTGTGTGTTGTAGAGGTGTATAGCCTGTTGTCCACACCATGGAAGTTGAGTTCTTCTTCGACTACCTGAACAAAAGGGGGTGGAGCTGTGTGATTGCACATTCCAAGGGACGATTGTTCGAGGCCGGTCACACATGGTTTATTTCATCAAGCGGTGTTTGGAGTTGTATCCTGACTACAGACCGTTGTCAGAAGGTAAGTCAGGATGTACAATTCTCGTAGTCGACATATTCTAACCCTCGGCCCCCTCTAGAACGCAGAGGCGGCATAATAGCTGGAAGACTAATCATTTGAAGGAAACACCCTACGTTCTAACTGCCAAGTGCATGACTTCGTCAAGAGAACCCTCACTCCACCCCCCCCCAACATAGTGTAAACAATTCACACTATTACAGTAACCGCTGTCCAAGCGACCTTACAGGTATAGTAGGGGGGATCTTCAGGAACATTATTTTGTTGGCCTATTGCGATATGCAAGCCCGACCACCACTAAAAGTCAAAGTACCACCTATCTGTCGGGATACATCATCACCACACAAATCAACGATTCAGATATTCACCTGTCAAAAGCCCAAAGTCCTGCCTCCCACACTGACACTGCCTGCCTTACTCAGTTATATATTATATACATTACATTTTCAGAACGACAAACATTCAAAGATATGATACTCACTTGTATCGTTGTATATAATACCTCCAAATTAGATGATATACTTTCCATGAATAAAATTTGAACAGATGAGGACTGATGACCTTCATTATCATTTGACGATAAATTTTCTTGAGCTGTACTCATCATAATCCCTTTAGACATCAATCGATTTTCCGATAATAATGATGACGATGATACTAATAATCGAATAGTTGATTGACATTCAACACTTCTCGACTGTAAATCATTAAACCATAAATGAAAATTTTGTGCAATATCAAAAAATAAATGATTAACTTTCAGGTGTAAAATATGCACACATTTTGTTGACCTTGATATTAAACCCGACAAATGATGATTTAACGAAACAGATTCACTCTCCATAAGTACACCAGCTGTAGTTGTCGATACAACTTTGTCACATTCATCATTATTGGACACATTGAATGATTCTTGTCGCTGTTGCTGTTTTAGGGAATACAATGAACGATGATGATAACGACTTGGTCCTATAGCTAATAAATGTGCTCTATCATGTAACCAAAGTGAATGCTCCCGTAGATGTGTTAATCGATGCCGAATACACTGGGCTTTACATAATTGTAACAGATAATTATTTGCTTGTGTTGTGATCAACTTTATACTACTTAAATCAGTAGTAACAGTAGTAGTAGCTGATTGTTGTGATAAGCGATCGTCAGAAGAAGCAGATGAATCAAAGACAGACGTTAACTCTTTGCCAATCGATTCAAGAAGGGAATCAAATTTACGCATATCCACTTGTAGTTGTTTGCATCTTTCACCTTCTTCATTCCATTGATGCGATAAATGATCAGCTGATTTTTGTAATCTATGCAATCGCCATTCTAGCGCATCGAATGTCTTTTTCACAGAAATTCGATCAGCTAAATCAGCACCGATACGCTCAGAAATACTATTTAATAAACTTGAATAGTATACAGCTTCAGTGGTATATGTATCAAGTAATACTTGAGGATTTTCTGAATACTCCAACTCTTCATCAGATGGCAGTTGTGAACGCATCATATTATTCAAGGGGAGAAGGATAGCAAAAGCTGCAGAACTAGCAGCCAACTGTGAGCTGCACGTCTCCAGAGTTAATTCAGTCCCGCCTAACCATGCTTCTAATTCACTGAAACCATCTTCAATGTATTTGAAAGCACCACGTCGAATAGATAATTGTTGAATTGCTGTCTCCATTAGAAATTGTAATCTACGCCAACGATTTATGATTGCATCACGAAATGGATCTAATGATCTATTACTACTAGATTGTTCTTCTGTTTGATTGTCCTCAACATCTGACGTTGGTTTCTGATGTTTACACACTTCTTTATGAAAGCTATGATATGTTTGTGAGGCTAAGGAGCATAATTGATGCAACTGAAGAAACATAGAGTCTTGTTTGCTTAAAAGGGAGTCTAAAGCAGCGCGTATCGGCAACAGTCTCTGATCCACTTCTTTTGTATTGTCAACACTTAACAATCTACAAATATCCATACATTCATAACTTGTTAATTGTGATATAATTTCTTCGGGAATGGGTTGTTTCACCATCCTGGTTTCATCCTCCTGTTGCTGATTGACTACTTGTCCTTTAGTAGTCTCCTGTTGAGGTAATTCCTCACCGAAGAAGCTTGAATAATCACTCACTGGTATCAGACCACTTTGTTTCTCGATATCATTAATAAATTCTGTCAGTTGATTCAAGCATTCTTCACGTTTTGATAAAACATCAGATAGGAGAATACTATGCCGGCCAAGTTCACCTAAATGAATAGCGCATAAACGTATGCATTGAATTGTAGTATTGTATAGACTGTCAACATTCGGTCCACGGGCTGGTGTTGAACTGACAATACGATCACCAGCCCGTCGAAGATCACCTAACCGCTGAATAATAACAACAGCTTCACTTGGTAGATTTGTTTTATCCATCAGTGTCTCCTTCTCAGCAGCTTGCTGTTCATTCTTGCTCACCTCTTCCACCGTATCATTACCAGCGGAATTCAATTCTGTCTGCCAATCTAATAATTGATTACCCAGACGTGTAAGTCGTATACCAACAGCTTTATCTGTTTTCAATGGATCACCCATAGAACTAACTGTATAACATGCATCTGTTGAACGTGCTTGTAAATCTTTCACTTGTTCAACAAGTCGATCTCTACCTTCAACTAATTGTTGCCAATTCTCACAAACACTAATCACTTGAAAGAGATTCGCTTTCAATTTTGCATGCAGTTTATCACATTCTGATGAAAGTCTAGCAATATCCACAAAAAAACTGAATGGTTCTACTTGTAATATTGTTGTTGTCGCCGATTGATCTGATGGAGTAGAGGTATTACCACCACCACCAAGTACAGTAGCACCAGTAGACACTGCACCGAATGACCAATTCGAGTCAACATGTGTAACAAACATTAGACCAGTTGAAACAGCGGCTACATCAACCTCTTTTGGTCCGCATAAATTAGAGCTAGTCAAGGTTTCGTCAAATCCATTTTCAATAGTCCCATTATTGTTGTCGTTATCAGATCGAGAGAAATCCAGTGTCACCTGCCATTTATTGATTGATTCTTTTAATTTACCAACTTCTAACTTTAAATTATTATATTCTGACTGGTAAGCTATACCAGATGGTGTTGTCTGTTCACGGTATAGAATATGTTCAGCATCGTCTGCAGCTACCTTCAAGATATCCATAACTGGTGCTGACTCAGTTGACTTCTCTTCATTCTCATTTTTTTCTCTAGAGACAATATCTTCTTTAACTTCTTCATTCACTCGGTCATTTCCTTCTTCATCTTTGATGACTGGTTCCTTTGCTGACGAAGGTTTACTTGTCGTCGGTGTCTGTCTTTTATTCTTTTTGTCAACATTTAATTCAACAACTACTGATGTATTAGTAAATGATTTCAAACGTGAATTCAATGCATTAATCTCTTGTATCCAACCTTGACGAGAAAATTCATATTCCATAGTTAAACGACATAGGACAGTACGTTGGTCAAGACGACTGATAAGTCGATTCAGTTTACTTAATAAACGCATTAAACGATCATGCAGTTGACGATTTAATTCATCTGTAGTTGAATCAAAACTGCCTTCTTTACCCAACAGATCAAAGGATACAGAACGTCGACTACGTGATCGACCGCTAGTTGGTCTACCAGTGCCAGCGCCAGGTCCACCAGCGCTACTACTGCTACTATCTGGTCGATTACTACCTGGCCGGCTGCTACTTGCTTTACTCGACAATTCAGCCAAGTCGACTTCTTCACCTTCTATTTGACAGGCTAATTCTTTTAAAGCCAACATTCGGGGACCACGTGCTTCTGTTAATAATGCTTTTAATTGTTCATAGGCTTCTGGTAAATCTAAACCGAGTAAGTGTTGTTTATCCGATTCCACTTGATCTATAATAATGAATGAATAAAATAAAAGCATAAAACTTCGTGAATTAGAGATAGTTTAAAATAAACAGATAAGTATTTAGATAAATCACTAAAACCTGTGAGTACTGGACAGCTGTTTCGTCCTAGTTTGGGACTCCTCATCAGAAGTTAGAATTCATGGGATGGCCATTGGATCATGTCCCGAGCTCGCCTTGCAACCAGGTCCTGGGTTCGAACCCCAGTGGGTGCGTACTGATGAAGAGTCCCAAGCCAGGACGAAATAGCTATCCAGTACTCCCAATTGGTTTTCCAGTGGTTCCCTAACTGACGTCAGCTTATGATGAAATCCCCCATCAAATCAAACAAAAATCCCTACAAAATCAATATTTGAAAAATTACCAAAAGTACTTCCAACAGCCTACTGAAGCCTTTCATTATTTAACAACTGCCTCCTCTCTCTACTGAAGATTGGATGGTCTAATGACCAGAAAGGATAAGCGCCAATAAGGAAGGAACTCTGTGTTAACGAAGTGATTAAAGGACTTTTGCCCAACAGAAATGGACAAAACAAAACGCGGAGAAGACAGTTGCCAGATATCATGTTAAGGTCAATGAAATTACAGTTCACTAAAGATGTATAAATTATAATAAGTATAAAAATGTAATAGCAAATAGAATATCAAATAAAATTGAGGATCATTAGAAGCTTGATGGCCAGAAGAGTAAAGGCAGTGTCTTAACCAGCTTTGTGCCTTTGAAGTACAAACGCAATCTGATAAAGTCCTTGATCCATAGAGCAAGAGAAATCTGCTCTGATGAATCTCCTCATGAAGAGCTTAATATTACTAAACAGTTACTGAGTGAGAATGGTTATCCAGAAAAATTCATCGACAAGAATATGAATCAGAAGTCAAGGCAGATTGAGAGTACCAACAGTTCCGAAAAAAGCCCTATTATTATAACTTCAGGTTCCTCGGGGATTATATCAGTAAGATATATAACACAACGCCTAGGGAATACGGTAAAAAAAAAAGCGTTCAGTGCTGTTGAATTACTCTGTGTCTTCAAAACCACTTCTCGTTTGCGTTCGGGAGTAAAAGACAAACTGACTAATTTCGCCTCTTCCATGTGTATCTACCAATTTAACTCCTCCAGTGGAGTAAGCCAGTTAGGCGTGTTTCTCGTCGAATTTCTGAAGATCACCCTGCACAGTGGTTAATTAGAGGACAAACAAAACCTATTCGTAGCGCCATTCTATCTCATCTTGAAGATACAGAACACGAATTTGATATTAACCAGTCTTTCAAAGTCATTTACCGTATACCAACAAATCTTAACTTCGCCTTAAGAGTTCATCTACTACATATTGCTGAGGCTGTTGGTGTCCACATTAATAAATCCAACTTATGTATCCAAAAGAAGAAGTTGGTTCAGACGCTTTCCTTACCTTGGCCATCAAGGTGGTTTTAATGATTCTCAATTTGTTGTGGAAATTTCCTTAATTTTTATTTGATATTCTATTTACTATTACATTTTTATGCTTATTTATAATTGAGGCATCTTTAATGAACTGTAATTCCACTGCTCTTATCTAACTAATCGATAATACTTAACAAAATACTAATGTTGTTATTGACTACTAATCTAGAATATTCTATGTATATAAACATATATCTAATTGTAGAACCAGAAGATGAATTTATGGAAAAGGATATTCTTCGCTCAATTTCTTTGTTTTTTCTAAATGTCTGAATCACTATTTTCGCTATACTAAAACGGAAGATATTTCTGATTTCCCATCAACTGGAAAACATCCAGATGAACAGCAACAAGTTGGCAGAAGAAGCATCAAATATAGGAACTCACACTCCAGCTGAACATAGAGAAAACAGAGGTGAGTGATGACGAATCATGGCCATCACCAACAGCGACAGCAACAACAACAACAGACAACAATCACCCAGCATAAATGGGAGGAGTCTGAGAGAAACAACCTCCTCTACCTACCTACCAGGGAGACATCGTCTCAAATACAGGTGGACAGAACTGATGAGTATATCATCAAAGCGAGGAACAAGAAGGCAAGGCAAGCTTTCATTACTGTCAAGTCTGTGTGTAGATAGATCAATAGCACTCAGTACGAAAATGAAAATAAGATATGGATTTCCATCTCCAATGTGAAGTCAGTGCTACTTACTATAACTTGGCACCGTTTCACGAGGAGCACTTTGAACAAACTACAGACCTTCACCTTTGAGCTGTCTTCGCTCAAAACTTCTCTCAAGAAGAGATGGCCGGCCAGGAAAGATCAGCAATTGGTAGGGATCTCTGGCAATGAGCGAACCAACTCAGTAGGAACTAATTGTGCAACAGGAGGGTGTGCAGAAATAAATGGAGGTGGATTGGCTGTTCATACTCTGAGAAAACAAACTATCAAGTGACATCACACGTCAGGCTGTGGCTTGATTGCCACCCGACTGAATGGGAAGCCGCGAGTTGGTCGTCAGTGTGAAGGTGACATTAAGGAGGTCATGCGAAGGGGAGATGTAAGCATATGGGCAGACGTGGTACCAGGAGAAGACACATTGGGGGAGAACTGAACGCGGTGGAGACGTACGTCTGAAGCCCTATGTTTCTCAAGGAACTAAAGGAAACAGTGGTAAGAATATGACAATCAGATTATAATATTCAGCGAAGACACCCTTTTCAACAAATTTATTATCAAGTCTTGTAGTTGTATATTCATATGTATATACATGTGTGTGTGTGTGTGTGTGTGTGTCAAGGAACATACGTACTGGATCATAGGTATTATTAAAAAGACAGTTACACTGAAGAAAATTTTCTAGAATATTCTATGTATATAAACAAATGCATACATCATTATAGAGCCAGTAGAGGGAATTATCGCAATTTTTCGTCCTTTCTTTTTTAAATCATTCTCAGTTTAAGAAGAAAGAAAAAACAGAAACAAACACACAGACAAACAACACTACTCACCGTTTTTTTGCTTCATAATAGACGATGGTTTATTCAGCGCACCATAGGATTTATTCCTTATGATCGGTGGTCTTGCAGCTACCCATACACGTGTCAACTTGGCTAAACGCTTTTCAGCTGACATCACCCATTGGGCAAGTCTATCCGTATCACGGAATAGACGATCACGAGCATCCAGTTGATTTTCTAATTCATTATTTAACTTTTCACATTGTAATTTAGCCCGTTTCAAGCGTTCTTCAATTTCTCTATACTTGGCTGCAACAGAATGTGGACTGATGATAATATTTGTGAATTGTGAACCGCTGCTGCTGTTATTGTTAGTGTTGTTATCACTACTATTACCACCACCACCGGGACTGGCAGTAGATAATTGCTCTGAAGACTTTGTCTCCTCCATCATCGCATGTGATAATGATCGACAATGAATTTGATTCTGGCCTACAAGTTGTTTTAATAACTTTTCTGTTTTAAAACTGTATGCTTTCCAATAAGACTCTGAGTCGAGTAAACGATCTTGAAAGACATTCACTTTATTCACCTTGGAATCGAGATCTAAATTAGTAGTTGACTGAGTTGTTGTTGTTGGTGGGGGACTGCTGCTGCTAATCGCTGTTGGGTCTGTTGTAGATGATAATGACTCTTTAACTTTTTGACTAACTTTCTCATTTAGAATATTAATCAATTCTTGATCAATTTCTTTTTCTAATCCAGTTAATTGATTAGTGAATTGTTCTGATTCTTTATTCCATATTGTCCATAAATTGTATAAATCTTCAAGATATTGAGATTCTTCAATTAACCAATAGTTGACACTTTCCCAACGTGTTTGCAAGCCTTCATTCGCCTCCTTTAATTCGTATAGAAGAAGTTCCAGTTAACGGGGGGGCGGGGCACAGATGGGAAGGAAAATAAAAGCAAAAATATATGATTGATTTATGATGAATAGTCACGTAGGCAATTTACAACAACACAAATGATCAAATAATATCACAACAAGGCGTCGGTGGTTCGTTCAGTGTGGTAGAATACTCACCAACCTACACCCACAAACGTGACCTGGGGCCTGGTCCGATCGATGCATCTTTTAAACCACACTTAGCCCGGAGAAGACAGAAGGTTGGAGGTACGGGTAACATTCTGCTACAGAAACTTCAAAGCTCAAGCTTGACTCCCTGTGTTCCACTATGAACAGAAGGGAGAGAGGCTAGAAGTAGTATTAGTATTAGTTGGGGAGGGTAGATCAGTCGATATGGTTGTGAAACTGCATCAACTGAGATGGCTGTTAGGTGCGTTACGCGTGCCAAGCCAACACATTTCTCTTCCAGCAATGTTAGTTGACATACATCTAGGTTAGAAAAGACTTAGAAATGGACAAATCAAAAACCTGGCATCAATCCATGAAGTCCTTGACTATTGATTTGAGTCACGTGGGGAAGTTCAAGAAGATAATTCGATTTACAGACATGGGACCAGTGACTCAACACTCACTTTGTCTACGAAAACAACATCAATACCATAAGTTAACCTATCATAGATAGTATTTCGCACAAACTCGAGGATTTACAGGTGAAAACCAGAAATATGGTGGAAGAAGCACGCAGGCAGAGAAGAAAGGACAGATTTCAGCTGAGCATAGGACGTGATGAAGATAACCGACCAACAGTGACAAGAGCAACAACAACCAGCACCAATCTCCATCAACAGGAGAGATTTGACACAGGTTACTTCTTGTCTTCACTTATCTAGGAAGTATCGTTTCAACCACATGTAGTCGGACGGCACGGATGAAGATCTCAGAGTCAGCCAGATAGAATCAGAAAAGCAAGATATGCCTTCATTAATCCGAAACTAGTTTGGAAATCTTCTCCACATACTCAGCCAGCCATCATAAACAACAAGATTCGGATTTTCAACACAAATGAGGAGTCAGCCAATCACAACATGGCCAGCGTATCACGAACAGAATTTCCAACAGGCCACTGCAGACTTTTATCAATAGCTGCCTTCACCGGATTTATACTGAAGATCAAATGGCCAGCCAGCCAACCAAACAGCCAGAAAGAATAAGCAACAAGAAACTCTGGCTGGGAACAAACCAACAAGCAACAGACGGTTGATCAACAAATATGTAGGAGAAAATGGAGATGAATCGGTGAAGTATGCGTTAAGGAGGCCGTTGAGTGACATCGCGCTCAATGCAGGTCACTACTCGAGTGGGATCCCAATGGGAAGCGATGAGTGTCTGTCTGTCTGTCTGAATTCAACATAGAACTTGGCACCGAAGTGCACCAGTTCAAGTTGCCACCTTCCAAATACCACACAATGGTACACAAGAAGATGAGTGAAGAGAATCAATACAGTCTGACAAGTATAAGAGTGAAACAGAATGGGTAATGATAGAAAGGAATATGAAAGATTACAGAGACTGAATACATCTGCGTTGGCCATTGACAACGATTTTGAGCCATGTCACCTATTGTCTCCAGCCATTGATTCCTAGAGTCCCGAGGGCCCCAACCCGGAAGTCTGCATCTCCCTACCTGACCGACTCAGTTTAGCTGTCAAGGATTTCATGGATTGATGAGGCCATGTTTTTGTTTGACCACCACTTACTCTTTTCCAACCTGAACCTATATCAGCTAGCAATGCCCGTCGGGGGAGGCGATGGTTAGGCATGCGCACCACGTGACCTAGCCATCTCAATCTATGTAACTTTATAGTCTCGTCGATTGATTTTCCCTCTTTGCCCAACACTCTACGCCTAACGTCAACATTACTTACCTTGTGAAACCACCTAACGTGAGAAAGAGATCGCAGACATCTATGATCGAAAGCAGTCAACCTTTTCATGTCTTCAACTCGTATTGGCCATGTTTCAGAGCCATAGAGAAGGACGGAGCGAACTGCTGAGCAGTACACACGTCCCTTGGTTGATAGCCGGATGTCACGCCTACGCCAGAGATGGTGTAAGTCAGCGAAAGCAGCTCGAGCTTTTCGGATCCGTGCTGAGATTTCATCGCCAATCAGTCCGTTGGTGCTAATACAACTTCCCAAATAGGTGAAGTGGTGAACATGTTCTATCACTTCACTCCCTATCACTAAGTTAGGAGTTGACGTGGTCCAGTCCTGTAGCAGCATCTTACATTTTGTAGGGGCGAATGGCATGCCAAACATACGAAGATTGCTGCTCAAGGTGTTCAGAAGACTCTGCATTTTCTCATCATCCTCCCCTAACAGGACTATGTCATCTGCATATTCTAAGTCCATAAGACTATTCCCTGGTAACAAGTCGATTCCTAAGTTGTTACGTTCAGTTAAGGATACTTCCATCAGCATATCTATGATGAAGTTAAACAGAAATGGGGAAAGTGGACATCCCTGTCGGACACCACTGGTTGTTACCAATTCAGATGACAATTCCCCATAAGCCCTTACACGACTACGTGAGTTTGAATAGAGTGCCTTGATTAGTGCAATGTACTTTCTTGGCACTCCCTTCACAGTCAGACATTGCCATAGTACCTTTCGATCCACGGAGTCGAAGGCCGCCTTCAAGTCAAGAAATATGACAATTGTTGGACGCCGAAAAGTGTGTCTATGTTCTAGAATCTGTCGAAGAGTGAAGATATGATCTATGCACCCTCTACCTGGTCTAAAGCCTCCTTGATTTTCCCTTGTCTGTTCCTCCCGAGTTCTGCTTAGTCTATGCATGATTACTGAGCCTAGGATTTTAGAGACTATGTTCGTTAGGCTGATCCCCTTATGATTATCACACGAGGACTTGTTTCCCTTCTAAGCGATGAGTGGGTCGTCAGTATGAGAGTAACATGGGATACAGTGCGAGTTGGAGAAGATGAGAGATTATTGGTAACTAGGGGTCAACTGAAGAGGAGTACAGAGAACAGAAGAAAGTGGGTATGTCTTGTTGAAGCCCTCCCTCCCTATGTTCCACTCGGAAGTCAAGTGAATAAAAATAATGCATGGCTGATTGTATGTTGTACAACCCTGTCCCTGTCTAACGAATTCCATGCAGAAGGGGAATATCAAGACTATTTCAATTGATTATATCAAAGTATTAACACACAAATATGATAAATATATGACTCAACATCATCATTATATTGAATAAAAAGGAAATAAAATTCAAGATAAGGAAATAGAGATCCTACAAACTAATGGGTTGTAGATGTCTCTAAAGACCAGTAAAGTAAAGATAAATACAGTGAATAAACGAACGTGATATCATGATCAGAATGAAGATAAGCAATCAAGATATCAAGGTGTAGTTGAAACCAACTGTCTTTACAAGTACAGATTCTAGGAGTCACACATAAACAAAGTTTGGGTATCTGTATTTCCCTGAAAGGGACTCAGACTAACAGACAATGAATTCGTGGATCGATGCTATTTGTCTTAGCCTTGTCACCTCCCCTATGATGCTTTATTCTTTACGAATTCTACTTTCTCTAACACAGTATATTAACAGTAAATTGAGACAGAAGATGGGTGAGCCATATTCCATATTTACTACATCCCAACAGAATTCGCAACTGCTTAGATACCATTATAAATGAGAACAAAACTGATAAGGCTACAAACATTTCTGATTGATTGATATAAGTAATTCGGTATCATTTACACCCACCAGTAGTACTTGTTACCCTTACCGAAGTGATCTGAAAACCTGACAGCCGTTTCAACCGTTTGAGATCGAGCTCATAGGCGATGTCTACGGTGCCACTCAGCTCAGAAAGATGAATTAGTTCAAAACACCATCGAATTTTGATTTGCCAATTGAGCAAGTTGGTAATATACGCTTACTGGAATTGGCGATCTCTCCTGAAAACGAGTAAAACAGCCGTCCGGCGTTTAGAGCACTTTAGATCTGTCTGGTTAACTAACAGTCACTACTGATAGATGTGTGTATATGTGTTATCAAACTACTGACTTCACTCAACCAGTAGTACATAACATTAAAACCGAATGTACTTCGTTACTTTTTATTATATATATATATATATATATATATATATATATATATATATATATATGACATACCTTTAAGTGTGTCCAACCGGTTAGACTAGCTGCTAACCAAAGCAGTTGATTCCGATCTTCAGTGAACTTTGAATTATGCGCAGTTCGACGTGCAGTATGTGCATCACGAATTGCTTGTAAATCCGTGATTGATTCAATCGGTGGTGCACGTGACATTGACTCGGCAATACTCTCAATCTCTGTGATATGTTCATCAATACCGGGGACAAGATTTAAATATTGAGCTAAATAATCTTTCAGTGTTGTCAATGATTCCGAATGTGTATTAAAAGCTGTTTGTAAGGCTTTTTGTCGTCTGAATAAACTAATTATTTTATTTTGAGCTTTAAATATTTCTGGACTAATTGAAGAATCGGAAGCGGCTTCCCCCTGTTCATTTGATGATTGTAAAGGTGAAAAGTGAGTAAGTTCCTGGAATATGGAATTAATGCTGGTTAATCGTTGAGCAGATGTTTGTAATTCTGTTAAATGATTATTGACAGATGCTTGCCATAAGGATAGCTCAGCGGCAGCAGCTTTAGCTGCTGATTCTGCTGAGCCTAATTCATTCGCTTGAAGATTCCCTTTAGCTAATGGTTGTACACCTGTGACATTAGATAAATTTAACTCCGCATTATCAAGTAGTTTGTCAATTTCACGTGTACTTGTATAGAATACTTCCCACCTAGCATTGGCAGCACGTAGACTAGCTAATTTTGTGCACAGATCTTGTTTCGCTGTGGACAGTTGAGCTTCAAGACGTTCAATGGTTATATCAAGTTCTGAAGCTCTTTCGGGCGTTGATCGCATTTTCATAGTTTCAGCTGCAGCTCTTAACGCTTTCAAGTCTGCCTCAGCTTTATTTAAAGCGTCTAGCTGAGCTGCAACAGCATCAGCTTGAACGCGGACAGCTTCCTGTCCGGCTTTAGTGGCTTCTTCAACACTTGCAGCAACAACACCAGCAATCCCACAGGCTAACGATTGATTAGCCCATTGTTTTGTTTCATCATCAATATGCAGTGTACTGGCGACATTGTCAATATCGACAGTACCATCCAGTTTACTAGTTGTTAACGCCATCGCAAAAGCAGCTGCTGTCACGGCACTTGCATGTCCATCAATCAAATGTTTTGTACCTGTCAACAGGCTAGTTAAACGTTGTTTATGCTCTTCAAAGGCCTCGAATGCTTCAGCTGCTTGACGTAAACTTTTCAATCCAGTCTCAGCGACTTTATCTACTTCAGCCCATGTGGCTTTCAGTTCACTCTGTGATGGTTCTATCCAATCTAACATTTCACCAGCTTTAACACTCATTCCACGTTGAATCATTGCCAACAGGCTAGCATCTCTTTCTTCAGCTATTCGGGCGACCATTGCTTCACGTTCAGCAAGTAAACGTTTCAATGCGTCTAAATCATTCGGTAACATTTCAGCATCTTCTTGTACAGCTTGTTCAAAAGCTTCACGTACAACCATTGCCTTCTTACGCTCTGTAACTGCATTAGCGCGAAATTCCAGTGTTTCGGCAATCAATGGAGCTGTAAATTAATAGTGGATGTAGTAAAAGTTTATAATATTCTACAAACGTGAAAGCAGTTTATTGAAATATCGTTTAACCCGCTTTTATATCCAACAAAATGACTCCTTAGAAAAGTCTTATATAAGCCAGTCAATAAGTAAAAGTAAAGAGCTACGCAGTTAAATACTCATTCAAGTATAACTTTCAATTGAAAAAAGACGGAGAAATAGACATAAACTGACACAGCAAGTGATAAAAAGTACCTATTCTACTCCCGTGATACCTAAACTAAAATAAAGTTAGCTATATGAGAGAAACGAATTCATCAATAGGCGATTTCTCACACTTTTCCTATTCTTTAAGTCATAGTTGCGTCACATCCACCCTGCGCTTTGTCTTCATTCATGTTAAAGGCCGACGTATCATCGATTTATCTTCTTTGTAAGTCACATGAGTCACGTGGGTATTTCTGCCCTTTCAAATTTTATACGAGGACATATGTCGAGATGACCTTGAAACATGAGAATGCCATAATTTCTTCCGCCCCCGCTTTATGATGATTGGTTGTTTCCAATCCGATACTGAAAAGGCATAGTAAAATATGATTGGTTGTGTCAGGATAGTAATTATAATATCTTCATTCTGGACAATATTTATAAAATGTACAGAATTCACGGAGGAGTTTTTTGCATGATATTTTCCCTTCGTACACTATTTTCAAGTAAAAGATTAATTTACAGTATATCCAGGGGCAAAATGGTCTCTGAGCCGAAGCACAAACCATTCCATTATGATATATCTACTTTGTCCTCTTCAAGAAATCAACGATAGCTAATTGAAAGCCAATTGTAAGATGTTCAGAAGTACATTTTAAGACTCAAAAATATAACTGAGGAACAGTTATCTCATACAATGATTGGAACACGTTGCCACCCGCATTCAGGTCTTTCCTCAAGTTTAGTAGGAACTTTCGAATCAGGAGCTTGTAAACAGTTTAAATACACACAAGAACAGATAATACCATTAGGATTCATATTTCAATCGATTAAAACAAACCGTAAAAGCGAAAATCTAAGCAAAAGAGGGATGGAAGTTTTTGGTAGCCCATGTCTTAAGCAGGTCGCCAAATAGCACAGTTATCAATGCCCTCAGCAACCTAATTACCTTCAAAATTTATTCCCCTTTATGAATTTGTATAAATCAAGAATAGTTTGTGCAGAATAAAATGGTATCGCCATTTACTTCGTCGACTTTCTAATCATTTGCTTAAAGCCTAAAATACTACTACTCAGTTTATGTACAGAAATAATTTTAACATACCTAGACAGTTCATTTTTAAACAAAAAAAACCAGCATATTCATTTAATGTTAATAATACGAGACAGTAAAAGCTCTTTATGTCAACGGTCTGTCTTCTCTTCTTGCCTTCTTGCGCCAAGATTCTGGTGGTATCCTATTAACCGATGCAGCTGCTTCACAACCTTGTCGATTGATCTCCTCTCTCAACTACCTAGCACTCGATATCGCTCACCTTATGATACCATCTAACACAGGAGACAGAATTCAAACACTTTTGATCAAAGACAAATACCCATTTCATGTCCTCCACTTCCAGTGGCCATGTCTCACTCACAGCCATAAAGGAAAACGGAGCAGTACACACGCTCTTCGATCGACAGCTAACCGGATGGCATATGCCAAACGAGCATCCTGTATCCGTGCTGAGATTTCGTCAGTGATCAAACCGTTGGCGTTGGCTGATGCAACTCCCCAAATAAGCGAAGTGATCAACAAGCCTAGCCACCACTTTACTCCCTCCATGTCATTTAAGCTAGGAGTAAGTCGATGTAGTACACTCTTGTAGTACCATCATCTTACAGCCCAAATGATGAAAATGTAGCGGCTCAGTAATAAACAATAAATCTATTATAGCATATCCAATGTTTCATTTGAAAAATATAAACCATTAAACAGTTTATAACTTACCACGAACCAGTAGGGCATCCATTTCACCGCTCAACTCTCTCAATGCTCCTAACGCGGCTGCCAGTGCAGCTCGTTTCGCTGCTAACTCTACATGCGAAACACCTCCATCCATAGATAATTCAGTTAGCATTAAATTCAGCTTATCCGCCAACGCATTCTGTTCACTCACCATACCAGTCATTTCTTCAAATCGTGATAGCATAGCACGATATCGTGTAGCTAATTCAACAGCTGTCTTTTCATCAGAATTCTTTTTGTCAGATGGATCACTTTGTAAATGGCTGAACAATTTTTCAACTTCATTAGTCCAATCTAATAGATGATGTAGTCTAGATATGAATTAGTGATAGAGAAAAATAAAACAAGGTGTTTTAAGTATAACCTATGGGGAACAGAGTACATGTATTATTATTATCATTATTATTATAAGAATGGAACTTGAGCATTGTGGTAGAGTATAATTTCACCAGAGAGTAAATTGATTTGATTAAAATCCCACATATCAGTGAAGCCTTTAAATTGAAGATAGAAAGTAAGACAAGACTGCCTCCCACACCATCATCAGTGATATTCCTAATTGTAGTGGACTGGATCACACGATGCCCTATGCGCGTGAAGAGCAAGAAGTCAAGAGTAGGCTGGACCGATAAGAAGACTCCGGAAAATCTGGATTTCTCGGATGAATTGTGTGTAATGTCATATCACTTGGAAGTCATATATATAGGCGAAAACCAACAAGTTGACAGAAGATGCAGGCAGCCAGGCAGTTAGCTGTCGAACACAGGAGTTCAAGTGAACACAAAGTGTCTGAATGGTTCTCTACCAGCTAGTCTTGTAACCAGAAGTTCCTGAGTTCGAACCCTGGCGATGGGCGGGCACTGTTGAACGAATCCTCTATTGAACCAATTACGCAAAGTAATGTATTCTACAAAATACTTTGCAACGACTGTGAGGTCACCTATGTGGGTCAAACCAATAGATCGGAAGTAGTCAGATTATCTGAACATAAGAATTTAGCTGATTGTAGAATATTGTCGCCATGAAAATGAGTAATTTAGAAGAAACTCGGAAATTGCAATGCATGCATCTACACACACAATAGGGTGGACAGAGTTATAGTTCTAAAAAGTAATATAGGTAGGCAGGTGGAGGGAAAGAGGTTGATTACTGAATGCTTGTTCATCGAATCTACACTAAACACATGCAATAGGAAAGAATCATCACCAATACCAGAGATATATGGAAAATATTATCACCAATCAAATCAAAAGATAAAACTTACTTTCTTACTTTTGTTGTATTACAGTTAAAGTTATCACATTCTAACATTTCATTTATTATTATTATTGTATCCTTTAGTTCCTAGAGGAACATAGGGCTTCAGCTGAGCACCTCCATTGCCTTCGGTTTTCTGACAACTTTTTCACCCTGCTCCAGGTCTGTCCACATGCTTTCATCTCCTCCTCGCATGACCTCCTCAAAGTCACCATTGCACTGACGACCAACTCGCCGCCTCCCTTTCGGGTTCCACTCGAGGGCTTGTCTAGTGATGTCACTTGATGGTTTGTTTCCTCCGCGTATGGCCAGTCCATCTCCATTTCTTTCTGCCTATTTGTTTCACAATCGGTTGCTGATTGGTTCGCTCCCAGAGATCCCTGTTGCTAATCTTTTCTGGCCATCTGATCTTGAGTATTGAGCGGAGACAGCTGTTAATGAAGGTCTGAAGTTTGTTTGAGATGCTCTTTATGACTCGCCAAGTCTCTGATTCGTATAGTAGCACTGACTTTACATTGGAGTTGAAAATCCGGATCTTAATTTTGATGCTGAGTGCTGTTGACCTCCACACAGATTTGAGAGTAATTCTATTGACAACACTCATGTCTTCTGGTGAGAAGTCGTAACCAGAGGGACCCACCAAGTCAGGCAAGAAGACTAATTTACTCACCTGTGACACTGGCTGGTGGTTACGTTAAATATATTTCACGAATTGGAAGAAGTTGGAATTCATGAGCTGTCCATTGGATCGGATCCCAGTGGCTGACTGACTGTTTTCAACATAGTCAATAGCTGAATGGTCTACAAGCTCACCTCGTAACCTGAATGTCTCGAGGTTAGAACACCAGGGGTGTGTATTGCTGAAGAGTCCCAAAGTAGGGTGAAACAGTTGTCCAATGCTTCCTACTAGGTTTACAGGGGGGTTTTGTAACTGATGTCAACTTGTGATTAATCAAACCTGTAACCACCTTATCACATTCACATTTCTAAATGTACTTCTCCCTATCCATCTGTTTCACGCAAGCATATATTGCGCTTTATTTATTCATCCGTATTGTCTAATCAGCCTGTGACTGGTGTATATAGATGAAGTTAGGAAGTTGTGTCAATAGAGACTTGATACGATTATGATCAATAAATGTTGTGAAGTAAGTAGCACTGTACACATGCATTATTTAATGGAATTTTGTCTTTTCCTTGTTAACTGATTAGATGAAAATATTCTGTCTCTTTTGTCATGTCGACGCCTAGTACAAACGATTTGACGATCCCTGAAGATTAACACGTAATATTATTTTAGTTGATGATGTGACCAGCAGTGTAATCTGGAGGGGAGGAGCATGCATTTCTTCTCCTGTTCGACACTCACATCAGCTAGTGGATTTGCCTGCACTTCCTCAGTGAATGATAGCCTTCCCACTAAGACTAGAACATAGCACCATCCCGCACCGTTTCAAACGCTAATTGGCTCAAGTTTTAGTCGGAATACCATCACACTCATCATGAAATTTAGGTAAATCCACACCTGACCATTCCCATCCTGGATTCCACTGCTAGTCACCACCCATAAAATAAAATTACATGTATGCTATTTCCTTTGCAACTTGTTAACATGACCATGAAGACTTGAACACTCCTCTTCTTACTCTTTTGGTTCAAATCTAAATTAGCAGACTGCTTAGTTCGAGTCCTGCCTTGATTCAGATTTTCATTTCACCATCATACAGAATTGGATACATCAATAAATGGGTACAGAATTCTGCTAACTTAAGGCTATCACTATGAAGTCAAGTATATCTTGAAGGTTTCACCGAATACCAAGATGTTTGTAAAAGTATAAGCAGTTAAACTCAGGAAGGAAGGAAGCAAACGTTGAGTTTGAAAACTGCAAGCTATATTCACAGTACATGATCTGGTGTCCATATCCAATTCCTCCGACTATTGTCATTTTGATTAGTAGGATGAATAATACAATAATTACCACCAATGCGTCCGGTGGTCCAATAATGGTGGAATGCTTGGAAGGTCTGGATTCGATACCCGGCCAAAGTTACTCCTAAACCTCGACTGGCTTACAAGTCAACAGTAGGCCTAGAAAAGAGCAAAGGTTGGCGGTGTGAGGTCACCGAACCCAACATTGTAAGGAGGAACAACACTACCTATAAATGAAACTTCAAAGCTCAATCTTGGAGCTTCATATTCTACTCAAAACAGGATGGAATGAAAAAAGAAACACACATATATTATGATATTCAAATTAAATACTTCTACAGAAACGTCTGTAGAGGTTAGTTGCCAGACCTTCAGACTAGTATATATGGTCGATTTGGGTTCCTCTCCTCAGTGTCACACATTTGGTTTTGAGCCTGAATAATCCAGTAATAACGTCTCTGACTGCAGCACTGCAATGCGTATACAAATCTTTAAAGAGACTAGGTTGCTTAGAGGTTTTGATACACCTGCCGATCGGTGGTGGTAGATAATTCACCAGCCACTCAGGAAGTCAAGGTCAGATTAGCGACTGACGCCCCCCCCCAAACCTTCCCCCAATTTACTAGCCAACAGTAACACCAGAAAAAAGGGAAGGTTGGAGGTGAGTCTAACATCCACACCCTGTAAAACTTCAAGACTCGAAACCCAATATCCTAGCTCGGAACTCAAAAACTGAAGATAAAAGAAAAAGTTACTGAAAAAGAACGAGAATCGGTCATCAACAAATAATGACGAGGGTAGTAAAAAGCATTTAAGAACAAATTATTAACTGAATTCATTCGAAAACCTACTTATCATCAAAATCAGCCCATTGTTCAGGTAGATTACGTAATCTAATAGCCATTTTACCGGCACGTTCAGATAACAGATTATACTCTTGTTGCAGTTGTGTTGTTCGTTTACCATAGGCATTTGAATCCGTATGAAATAGGTAAGACATTTGTTCGTCCAATTCACGCATTTCACGTAACAAATCTTCACAGACAGTATTAAACTGGGAATTATTAAACGCCATCTATCAGCAAGAAAAACAATGGAATATAAACAAAGCATAAACAATTAAAGTAATAATTATAACTTGTTTGATAAAACTAATTCATTACTGCTTTGATCATTGGCCGACAATAGTTAGAAAACCACTGGAAAGCCAGTAGAAAGTACTGGATAGAGGTTTCCCCTAGTCTGGAACTCTTCAGCACTATACACTCACCCAGGACCCACGAGTGATAAGACCAGCTCATCGACCATTCAACCACTAGGATACGATCCAATGACTATTCCATGAATTCTTGATACATGTAACGAAAGCGCCAGCCAATTTTATCGGAGAGTAACTTTCCTCTTACCTGAGACTCGATTGACCCCGGTGGTATTAACTTCTCATTAGTGACTGAGCATCAGATTAATTTTCTAGTGTTGCTCCAGTGTAACCAATCAAATCACTGCGGAACAACACAACACAATTCATGTCTTAAAAGGAATCAAAGAAAACCAGTCGTCAGTGAATGTTCCACTGGGAAACAAGCACCAGACAGTAGAAAATCATAGCCAACAAATACACTATACTAATGAGGCGGTAACTACTTGTAATTGCTAAGAAATGTGATCCGGAGCACTGTCGAAGTATGCAATGAAATAGATTTGTCAGCTGCAGAGTCAATACCAGTGGGTCTCCATTTGGTCTCAGCTCTGTGGTACGGAAAGCACTGCACTGCTCACTGCTTGTCGGTTGGTCTACCGAACTCCACAATTAATGGTTGTAGTAATAACTTTCAGGTCACCTACCCATTCGCCTACTCCACTCTGTCCAATGCCACCTCCGCCTGACATCTCAAAAGCATCCTCAGCACGACTGTTGTCGTCGTATCCTGAACGCCCAGTAGCTCAGTAACGGATTCGAAGGCTCGCTTCAGGTCTCTGTATGTCTCCCAGTTCGAAAGCTGAAGACCATGCTATCTTTATTTGTCCGTAGGCAACGATACCAAATGCAACAGCAGGACACAACAGTACTCAGTAGCCGCCATTAAATCCACCCCCAATCCATTCAATATGCTTCCGGATGATACATATATATACTACTTACAAAATTTCTCAGTAGAATGCGCCACACTAGAAGTGATGTCACATAATCAACAAAGACACTTAGTAGGTTTAACATGAAATTTCACCCAATATTACATCAATTCACTTATGCTACAATCCAAAGTACAAAGGACTTGTACGACAGTCGCTAAATTACATCTCTAGTGTAGGTATGGTATTTGGTCACCGATTAAAGTGTGCACTGTCCAACAGTCCCTTCCCACCCTCCCCTTTATGGCTATCAAACACTGGCGCTGAAAGTGGAAGATTATGAAGAGGTTAGCTGTCTTTGACCATAGTTGTTTGTGTTTTCACTTCCGTGTTAGGTGGTATAACAAGGTGAGTAATATTGAGGTTAGGCACAGAGCGTAAGGTAACGAGGAAAAACCAGTCAGTGAGGTTGTGAAACTAAATCGATCCAGATGACGAGAACACATGCCTAGACGTCGAATATCTCGACGAGAAAAGTGAGCTGACATAAGATATTACGGTATTATAGAATAAACTCATATAATATGGAATTATTCTCTAAAGCACAACAGTATCAAGGTTCTACTGTTTCGTCAAGTAAGTAGTGAAAGCATTGTACGAATATCAGTCAGCGAACAAACTTCAAAACAATCGAACCCTTAGGAACTAACACACTTAAATACTAATCTAGCACTCATTAGGGATTGACTCTGAACAAGACGAAGTTCTCTGAAATTCTGGAGAGAAGTCGTAAACAGTAAGATTAGAGTCCACCGATTCAGTCGGGTGTGAGGATAGAAGTCAGAATTCATGGCCCATGCGGATCTATCGCAGAGCATGAATCGTCAACCAGCTTGGCCGCGTATCCCGAAGGTCATGGGTTCGTAGTGCTCAAGAATCCTAAAAACTAGAACCAAGTAACAGCTGTCCAGTACTCGCTGGTTCTGACATGATCAAACCGTGATCAAACTTGAAACTAAACTCATACAATAACGCTTGAGAAAGAATATTTCTTGACAGAACCGTAAGACATTGATAGAATCAGAAGGAATGTAGGTGGTGGTAAGTGTAAAACTCTAAATGGGTCTTAATCAAGTAGCCTACACTTCTTTATGTATTCCTCCTTTATAATTAGACTGATCATCAATAAATAAGATGTAATTTGTCTGAATCGTGTAATGTGTATTTACGCAACATACATCACACACGAAATTGTCATAGGAATGAATATATACGAATTTAATAAAGAGTTAAGAGGTGAGGAAATAAAACCACTTAGGTCAAGTTAAAAGGACATATTGAAGGTCAAAATAACAATGAAGATCATTAGACCAAATAACAGAGATAATAGTACATCTAACCTGGCTGGAATCAAAACAAAGTTTACCAAGGAAGGTTTATTGTGATGACGAATTCCTGCTTTGAACGCATAAAGGTGATCTAAACTTCCTCATTGCCAGCTAGGACTTCCACAAACTTTAAGATACGCCCCAGACACTTTTCATAGATAGGTTTAAAAGATGTGTTAGCGTCAATTTTATGTCCTGCCTCTATAATATGTTTCACAATAGAGCAGCTAGGTCTCCAGTTCTCACCATTAATGGGTTCTGAAGATTCTATCTGCTTCTGGAGCCATTTAGGAATATGCTCTGAAGTCAACCCTCACTTGCAGTCTTTTAAAGTCTTTTAAACTGCAGCGCTCAATCTTTTTCTAGTTATCAAGCTGCTATAATGTCCCATATAGAGTAGCTTGATGTACAAGTTTTTCTTAGGGATGAGTTGTAGAGTGGGTCTTGGTGTTCCACTGACCACTTTACTTCTCCTGATGAACTTGTCTGGATAACTGTTATCAACCAGAGTTTGTGTCAACTTTCTTTCTTCTTCATCAAGTGTGTGTCTTCAGTGCATATTGCATATTGCTTTATCTAAATTCATAAAGGGAACAAATTGTTTTAAAAGTCTCAATAAGTAGTTGTTCATTCCTACAACTTTTATCTTGCTTCCTATCATTCTTCAGTCTCTTGAATCTATTATCAATATTATTATTATTATCTTTAAAGAATTCTATAATTACTTAGATCAGTGCACTAATTATGCAGATGGCCTCTTAACATTTTCAAATACACAAACCGGAACATACACTGACCTCACCATCAACAGTTTAGATAAGATTGGATATAATCTTGAATGACAGCCAATGTATTGTATGTGCGTATGTATGTATGTATGTGTGTGAAAGAGTGGAAACGACAGAGGATGAATTATGTGTGATCACATAAGAAAAGGAGTGGCACGGAAGTGATTTATATGACTGATATATGCTACCACCATACTGACCTTTTTCCCGCATAAAATGGTAATAATAAGATGTCTTTAGAAATGGCTGTGAATGGTCAAACAGGTTTTCATATATGTGTAAAACTTAAGCACTGTGGTAGTAAGTAATTCCACATTAGTTTGCTTATTAGATGTATCATACAGCCAGTGAAACAGTATTATTTACTGGATGACAAGGTTTCGAACAAAATTTATTATTGTTCATAATCATTTATAAATATTGGTTTTGTAGGGATTGTGTTTGATTGCATGGAGGATTTCATCACCTAGAGAACCATTGGAAAACCTGGGAGCACCGGACAGCTGTTTCGTCCTACTTTGGGGCTCTTCATCAGTGCGCACCCACTGTCAGGGTTTGAACCCAGGACCCTCTAGTCACAAGGCGAGCTCGTAGAGACCATTGAGCCACTGGGACCCGATCCAATGGTCCTTGAATTCTAACTTCTGCCAATTCACAACATATCGCGACCATTTCGCAATGTCTTCTTCGATGAGTTACTGTCTCATCTTCAACCTACTGTACACAACTGGCTACGGCTTCCCACGAAAACCCCCAGGTTAACTGTCTGAATACGACCAGTCGCTAGTGAGCATCAGATTAATTTTCAATTATTGATGTTTGTAGGGATTTTGTTTGATTGTATGGAGGATTTCATCATTTGCAATCACATGACTTCGAAAATTGAGCTTTATAGTTTTCTTTGTTCCTTCCTATTTGTCGAGCATAAAAACCTAGCAAAATCTAGATTAGTTGACCCGAATAAGATAAGAAATCTAGAGAATAGTTCAGCTATACCACTCACTACATGCAGTTACACACAACCATACAATAGGCTGAATTGGCTAAGATGACAGTTTTAAAATCTAATGTACCAGCAGGGTGGAGGGAGAGACTGACTGGTGACGGAAGCTTTGTTTATCGAATCAACTGAGACAGAATACGTGTAACAGGAATTATTTAACACGTGTCCACGCAGATATCTGGAAAATTCTACTACCCTAACGACGATAAATAGGAGAGAACAAAGAAAACTATAAAACTCAAGTTTCAAAGTCGTGTGATTACAATTGATATGGTTATGAACAATAATAAACTTAGTTCGAAACTGTGTCATCCAGTAAATAATACTGTTTCATCACTGTGTGATATATCTAACAAATAAACTAATATCAAACAGGTTTTCTTTCAATCCTCAAGTAGGGTTGTTGGTGCATACGGCTGAAAAGTGCCGAACTACAACGAAACAGGTGTCCAGTAATCCCTGCTGCTTTTCGCTGGTTCTCTAACTGATATCAATCCGCAATCAAACTTGAAACCAATCGAATCCCTACAAACCAATTCCAGAAAATTAATAAATCTTTGTGAAACTCTAACGATTATTGTGATTAACTAGCAGTAGTATTATTATACGCATTATTCACACTTTACATTCCTAGGGGAATATAGACAGGGCATCGTAGTACATATCCAGGGTAGTCAGTCCACTACCATCAGCTGTCTCTGCACGCACGCATGATCCGTAACAACGCCAGAAACTGAATTAGTCGCTTTCCTATGCGATGATCTAATGTAAGACAACTGGACGTAGCTGAAATTAGATTGTTTAATATTAGCAATGAATAAAAATCCAAAGAAATCCAAGGTTAAACAAGTATGGAAAAACTTGATCTGTTTTTTTTTACCTCATGATCCGCCAGGATACTAGCCAAACTTTCACCGGATGACATACGTGATTCTTCATCATTCAGCAGTCTACTTGTATTCTCCAAATGTTCACGTAAACGAGCTTCTAATAAGGCATATTTCAGTTCATATTGACGTCGGGTAGCTTTAGACATAAGTTCCTAAAATGAATAAATGGGGAGGGGGAGAGGGAGAAATGAAATCATGCATAGACGGATGTGTAGTGTTGCGAGGGGGGACTAAGGCAATATACTCAATATCCCACACAAAACTATTTTTACAAAAACATGATTTATTTATTATTACAGCTTGATTCCACACTGTATTTTTAATACAAGTATGGAATTTTCAGCATGGATATCTGATATGTATCCATATATATATATATTATATATATATATGTGAATGGTGGTCTCTCTTTCTGTTGCTCTCTTAGTCTGTGACCATTTCACTTGATGAACCTGTCTCCTTTAACAATGTATATTCCCCTTATATTATATATAATATGTGTGTTTGTTGACATGTCTGCTATATTTTGCTATGTATATATGGATCGATACTCCATTATAATTAGCCATTCATGTTAAGACTGTCTATTGATTTGTTCACACACTTGTCTGGACATTAATATATATACATTGCATTCACATTCATGTGTGATTTGATTTTCCTTGTGTTTGGAAAATAGAACTAATGATCTTCTGATTTCCGTCTTTCTTGCGTCAGGACTATTAAATTCTCGACCAGTACATAACAATAATTTGGTGACGGGGAAAACTACTATTAACCACTCAGCAGCAGCAACATAACAATATCGGTAGCCCAAATTTTGCAGGCTGACCATAGATATCAGGTGTGCGTCGGCGTGGGCTCGGACAATGTGCATGGTCGGCGAGAGTCCTAACCACTGTGGCACCGACGCTGGATACCTGTGTGTGACGTAAAAGAACTCTCATCACATCACTTGCTCACCTTATCAGAAGAATCTGAATTAATGATTGTTTAGAGGAAGAACTCTTAATTTTCAAAATTACCTCGTCTGAAGATAGATACTCAAAATGTTTTGCGGGGGGAACATGAAACCGAAGTCAAAAAGAGACGAATACAGTTCAATAGACAAAGGACAGCAAATTTACTAAGATTTACCGAAGCAATCGCAAATTAACAACTTAAACCAGACTTATGCATAAAGAAAGAGAGTGTGATTAACCTCTCACTCCCTTGGTAACAGAATTTTGATTTTGATTCAGTGATCTCAACTCACTGAACAAATCTTAATCTCATCAACTGTAACCGCTTTTGTTTTTTGAGTTGGTATGTGAACCAACAAGCTAACACTGTTCTGTTAATCAATTTTTCTGTTTTCTGTCTTACCTCTCCCACTTCTTTTCAACTTTAAAAGCGTATAAATTGATGATGAAAACTTAAACTAAAAACATTGTAATGCTTTCATTTTGGATGTGTCAATTTTATAGTATCTCTTCTCTACCACCACTCAAACATTAAAGTATGTTATTATCATCTATATAACCATTGTAATTTCAGGTAGTCTGCAGCTGATGAGAACCTGTGAGATAGAATGATATCATTTTATACTGTAAATTTCGTCTTCCTTTCTTTATCGGAATACAGTTCAGTTGAAAAGAAAATACTTCATGGGAGACTTAGCTACAAATATCCTAAATAGAATAATCCCTAGGTCCCTAAAGAAGACATCTCCTGAAGCAATTCGAAGAGTTGTTAGTCTTTAGCCGCTCACTGCTTCTAAGCAACGTGAAGGAACAACTCTTGCATATCACAGCTCTAATGTGTACATCAATTCATCTACTCCTGTGGATCTAGGTACATAAGTTCGTTCTGCATGTATACTTTCAAAACTTGTTAAAGAACTCTTGACATTATGGCTGCTAACAGGTGGTACTGGTTCAGTCAGAAGCACTATAATTGAACACCTAGTCAACACACCTGTCACAGAATCTCAAATGACTCATCGCATATAGAATCATTTACAAAGTGAACAAAAAAATCTGTCAAAGGCAATGTATTTCCGACTTCTTTTGTACCACAGAAGACCTCTCGCCATATGCATTGAAAAGCCAGAGATATGTGTTCAAAAATGTCTAGTCCAACCTTTACATTTACCATGGATCTAGCTAAGTCTAACTCCTTAGTTTTCGTTTGATTTTTTTTAAATTCCTTTTATCTTCGGTTATAAAAAATATTATTTGAATTCTTTTCCATACGCATGCATCGTTAAGCAAGGGATAAACAAAGGCGAAGTATCATAACCACAGACAAGGTCTTTCAAGGTCGATCATAAAGGACCAATCAGATTCGTCGAACGTTTCTGAACGCCATTCCAAGCAGAAATCATGTCTGCGCTTACAGATTTGGTTAGCGAATTCTGAGGAGATGGAGCATTTATTTATTGTATTAATAATAGATTAATTGGAGTGACTAAGAGTTGTGTTTGTGGAGATATTATGACGCTAAAGCAATGCAACCTTGTTGGCGATAGATATTGTCTTAAATGTAATTCACGTCACAAGAGAAAATCTGTAAGTGAGGGTGAATGCAGTACCTTAATTATTCTTTAGGTACTTTTTTTTTCCTAATTTAAGATGTCTTTGACGAATATCCTACGCTTTATATACTGTTGGATTTCACAAAGACCTGTAAGTTCAGTGGCAGCTGATACAGAAATAGCCAGGCCTCAATAGTGCCATTGTACCAGCACTGCAGACACAGGGTGTCATGGAATTAACAGGGGATTATCGGTTGTCTTGGAGGAGTAGTCGTTCACATCGATGAAACTGCTCATTAGGAAGAAGTACAACTGAAACAATGCGAAATTAGAAGTGCCGCAATATTAATTCCAATCATTCAGCGCTTGGTAATTCCAGAAACAACCACATATATTGATGAATGGAGGGGATATAACCAACTGTCACCTTTGGGTTACATTCACTATCACAACAACCATTCCTCTGACCTCAGGCACGTGAAGTAACTTTATCGTAGGATTCTGAGGGAGATTGAAGAAAAGAATCAGGAATGTCAGTCGATCGCAAAATAGCATGGCTTTTAGCCACATCGATGAATAGATGTATCGAGTATGGTATGGTTTCTCAGGTGATCATCCTTTGAGAAACTGGGAGACATTTTTAGAACATATTAGAGACCACTATCCGGTTTATTAATATTTTCCTAACGTTTTTAATACATATTTTTAACTATTCTGACATTTTTTGGCATCTCTGTTCTGATTGGTTGCTCAAGGTCACTTTAGTTTGGCTATGACAGCTTATGTGTACAAAAAAATCCCATTGTAAAACTGCTTTTGAGCATGAAATCGCAGAAAAAGATATCATCTTTGCTTTGAAGTTCCTGTTCTTTTCTCTCTTCAATGATTTGATGACTAACAAAACTTTTTTGAATTGAGAAGTAAAAATGACAATAATATGATTACATAGTTGATTAGTTTCAACTATCAGTAAAGTAAACTTCTGAGTAGTTCTCCTTTCGCTCTGATTTCAGAGCTCTGCATGGATTATGAATATATATCTGCTGATATTATAACTACTGAAAAACGTTATCAAGTAGTTTAAATTGTTTAGTGCAATTAGTAGACAAATAACATTGTATTAGAGTAGAATGTGAGGACCACGCCTCAGTTCAAACATGATTAGTTAGATCAGAGGTGTACACTCTGAGAGAATTTATGCAGCACATTATCTTTCCTTTCATCCGTTGAACTCGGAGCGGACTCAAAGTTTCAATGGCGTTGTTGTTGTTTTTAATGGAGGTAGGTTGGTAGTCTCTCACGCCTAACCCCTCCTCTCTTACCCAAGTTCACTACCGGCAAGTAAACTAGAATAAGTTATAGCAGAAGACGCCTGTCAGGATTCGAACGTGGACCATATACGTGGTTGGTGATCATTCGAATCACTGAACTACCAGTGCATTCTTGATATTGAAAGAAACGCTCACGAAAACGAGTCCTTCGGCTTATACAAATGACTCCACAAGAGCGGTTAAATTGAAAATATATATACATTGAAGTAGCCAGAACTCACAGATTATAATTATTCACTCGTATTCAAATCATACACGTTTCAATAAGAAAATTTTATTCAAGTTTTGGTTTGCAGGGACTTGATTGGTATCAGGATTTGATCATGAACTGACATCGGTTAGAGAACCATTTAGGAACCAACTGGGAGTACTGGACAGCTGTTTCGTCCTGGCGCTAGGTTCTCCTCAGCAGTACACACTTGCCACCGTGGTACGAACCCAGATCCTATTGGTTACAAGGTGAGCTTGTAGACCATTTATTCACAGGGACCTGATTCAATGGCCAGTCCATGAATTCCAACTTCTGTCAATTCATGACATGGCACGAACACTAGCGAATGTCACCCTATTCAGGTAGGTGGTTACATGGGTTCTAGTGGGAAATCGTGACCAGTGAGGTACAGCAGGTTGGGTGTGTAGACAAATACTTGACACTGATGACAGTGGCTATTGGGTCACGCTATATCCTGAATTGCCAGAAGTTGGAATGCATGAGCTGGCCAATGGATCGGGTCCCAATGGTTTAACGCCCTACGGGCTAGTTCGCCTCGTAACCGGAAGGCTGTGGGTTCGAACCTCAGTGGGTGCATGTTGCTGAAGAGCTCCAAGCACTAGGACGAAACAGCTGTTCATTAGCACTCCTTGCTGGTTTTGCAATGGTCTTGTAACCGATGTCAGTTCATGATGAAATCCTGAAAAAGAATTTTAACTTTTGGTTTTTTTAATCGCAATGCTAGTTATTTATCAGCTACATCTTGGTGCAAAACTGTGATGTTAAACACTAGTGTTTCCTTTGCCTCTCTAGGCATATGAACCTTTCTCTTCACTGACAGTACTGTGAACATTGTAGGAAATCAATGTTCAGCACAGACTGATCATAGTTAGAGGACTGTTGGAAACCCAGCAAGCATTACATAACTGCTACGTTCCAGTTTATCATTTCCATACTGCGAACCTTTGATTTCAAATGAAAAGCGATTAGAGAACAGTTGTTTTCGGCATTCAGTAGAGTTGCCTATTGCATTTTAGTACCATTTTACACATTCAGATTAAACATTCAGTCCTTTTAAATTTTTTTTTGATTTTTCTTTTCGATAAACACCCGAGGTGTTGGAGATGAATACCGTAAAAATGAAAAAATTAACTATCACTCCACCAAGTACGGCACAGTTACACAGTTATTCACAAATACACTACTCAGTTACCTGGCCTAAGCCTAAGGCTCACATATTTATTATCATTGTTTCCTCTAGTTCCTAGAGGAATATAGGGCTTCAGTCACACGTCTCAATTGCGTTCGGTTCTCTCCCAACCTCTTCACCTGGCTCCACGTCTTCCCAAATGCTTTCATCTCCTCTTCACATAACTTCCTCCATGCCACCCCACCCTCACACTGGCAACCAACTCGCTGCTTCCCATTCAGACGGGTTCCACTCGAGCGATGACCTGGAGTGTAATGACACTCACTTGATGATTTGTTTTCTCACAGTATGATCAATCCACCCCCATTTCTTCCTGCATATTTGTTGCACAATTGGTTCCTTCTAAGTTGGCTCGCTCATTGCCAGAGATCCCTTCCTGGTGTTGATCATTTCTAGCCGGCCATCTGATCTTGAGTACTGAGCGAAGACAGCTGTTGATATAATGTTGATATGTTACATATACCTGCTTGTCCAAACCCAGAAATAGTTTAAACTGGAGTCTTATTGACCAACCCTAATATGATTAAGCCAAAGGAGCCACAGATATAACCGAAGCAGTGCACATCTTTACTGCTGTTATTATTATTCCCATAGGTCTCAAGTGGAAGATATGGCTTTAACAATACATCTCTATTTCATCCTGTTCTCTGTAGTTTCTCCTTACGTGGTTCCACAATATTGCCCATGGACTATCACTTCCTCCTCACACAGTGATCTACTCCATGTCACCCTTGGACAAACACCCAATTCACCGTTTCCCATTCACCTTCCATCCGAGTGATATTCTGCCTCGTTTGAAACCTGTTAAGCAGTGACTTTTCGAGACGCGCCGAAACTCTGAACCAAATAGGGGGTAGAATAACTCACACTTTACATTAGTGTTGAAAATTCGAATCTTGTTCTTTATGCTTAGTAATAAATCCCTGTGGTTGCTGTTGATTAGATCAGATATCTTCATCACTTCTCCTCTTCTCCATGACCATATGAAGTCCTCTCTTGGCTGTTTGCTAGTCTGTTCTACTACCAACTTGTCGGCTTCCGCCTATAGATCTTCGAGTTTGTGTGACATTGGGCATAAATAGCCACAAAAGTTCAAATCTTCTAGAGTTTCCTTGCCAGTACAACATGCATTCTTATCTTGTCGCTCCCACGCACAGTTTGGTACATGATCCAGTCCACCACAATCAAGAATATCATCACCAACGATAAGAGTCTGTTTTGTCTCATTCTTGTTCTCACTTCAAGGACATCGTTTAAGTTTTCTGTTGTGAAGCTTTTCACCTGGGAATGACGCTGACAACGGTTTGAGATACTGCACTCCGTAGTGTGGAATCACTTTCCAAATCAGTTCACGGGTCAACGCCGTCGAAGGCTTCTTCAAATTCGTTGACACGTGAACTAATATTAATACCATATAAACACCTAATGTTTAGTTATAAAAATCAAATACATAATTTTAAAAATTAGTAAACAAGATTGAAAGAAGCAAAATCACTTACATCGAATCGATCACGATATCTAGTTACTTGATTCGATGCTTCTAATATCACATTCATACTAACATCATCTGGATGAATGGTTGATGTTGCTGAATTCTCCATCAAGTCTTCTGTATTACCAGTAAACAACTCCACCATTTTATCATAAGTTCGATTTAATTCAATGAGACATGTTTGACCAGTTGTTTGTGTTCGACTCAGGAAAGCTTCATGTTCACTTAGCTTATCCTGGATAATTTCTGTATTCGCCAGTTCTTTCTCTAATTCTAAATTAGTATCCAATATGAGTAGACGTTCAGCTTCATTTAACCAATCGGATAGATTTGTCAGGGCATATGAGAAGGACTCTTGAGCTGATTTTCGTTTATCCAATTCACTTTCAAAACATTTGGCTACAGCACGCATAGCCTAATATATAGTGAAAGAAAACGAGAGAGAGAGAGAGAAGATAATTAGTGAACTGAAACCGATATGTACCCACATGATGTGTGTGTTTTGTTTTTGACAGTCTATTATATTTTACTATGTGTATATGGATCGATACTTCATTATAACTGACAATATGCTTTGTCTGTCCATTAACTAAATAAACAATGTATGGCCTTGTTGTCACATGACATTACAACCAAACATGTTAAGAATGTCTATTTATTCGTTCATGTGTATTAGTCATTTTCATACATACTTTTGTGTCATATATATAACTTCCATTATGGGTAAATTTTGTTTTGATAAAGTCTCACAGTGTTATACAGTTATGTTTACTGATGACCACGTTTCGAGCACAATTTATTACTGCTCATAATCATATCAAGGTACTCACACGACTTCCTAAATTCATTTATATAGTTCCATTACTTTTCACTTGATTTTCACTTGATTTGATTGGTAATAGTATTTTCCATATTTCAGGTATGAGTGATGAATCATTCTTATTGCATGTGTTGGGTGTAGACTCGATGAACAAGGATTCAGTAATCAACCTCTCTCTCCACCTACCTAGATTACTTTTTAGAATTTTAACCCTCTCCCACCCTATTGTGTGGTTGTGTGTTAGCGCATGCATTGCAATTGCTGAGCTTTTTTCTAAATTATTTATCTTCTCGGGGTCAACCATTCTTACCTTAGCTAAATTCTTATGCTCTGACAATCTGACTACCCCTGACCTACTAGTTTGACCTATGTAGTTGACCTCACAGTCATTGCATGGTATTTTGTAAATAATATTATTTTGTCTAATTGGGTCAACTGGGTCCTTTAACCTACAGAGCTTGTCCCTGAGTGAGTTTGTAGGTTTAAATGCCACCCTAATTCCTATTTTATTCAGAATCCTACGTAGTGTCTCAGATGTCCCCTCTTTATATGGTATAACTGTGGATGACTTATATTCTTTCTTATTTATGTTATTATTACTAGTTTCACAATTATTTTTATTTTGTTTTTGGCCTTTAGTGATCTTCCTAATGAATTTTATAGGATAGTTATTCAACACCAACGCTTCTTCTATCTGTTTTAATTCATCATTTAGATTTTTTGTGCTACTTAGTGCCACTGCTCGGTTTGTTAAACATTTAACTAAGCCTGCCTTAACAGTTAAAGGATGAGACGAATTAAAGTCTAAATATCTATTAGAATGCGTTGGTTTTCTATAAACACTAGTGTGTAGTTTGCCTTCTTCTATTCTTTTTATCTTACAATCTAACATAGCTAATTCTCCTTGTTCATTTTCTGATTCAAATGTGAATTTTATTCCCTCAACTTGTGAGTTTATATGTGTCAAGAAGCTAGAGATGTGTTCTGTTTTTAACACTGTGAAAGTGTCATCCACATATCTCCACATATTTTCGGAGTAGGGTTAAATGTATTGAGGGCACTATTTTCCCAGCTGTCCATAAATATGTCTGCTACGATAGGGGATATTGGTGATCCCATTGCTACACCTTCTGTTGATTACTGAATCCTTGTTCATCGGCTCTACACCCAACACATGCAATAGGAATGACTCGTCACTCATACCTGAAATATGGAAATTACTATTACCAATCAAATCAAGTGAAAAGTAATGGTGTGGTGAGAGCAGGCTGCTAGCCGATTGGTTGGCACTAATCTACGTTAAGGTCTAGGTCACTAATATGGGCCGTGAGAAAATATGAACAAGCCTGAGTCAGCAACCAATCACAGCAAAGTTAACGTGGCAGAATATGATTCGCAGAGAGAACTCTATTTGTCAAGGAATCCCGAAACAACCAATCAGAAGCCTGCGTTTGTCTACCTAAACAACCAATCAGATGACTGCGCTTGTCTATAATAATGTAGTTGAAAGATGTATAAATACGCGTTGATTTTCATAATAAAACGATCTGTTGCCTGGCCCTTGTCTTCTGTTGTTACATTTGGTGTCGCTGCCTACCGACAAATGGAAAGCCTATGCCCTGCTGTTTTTGATGGAGACATATGGATCTTCGGGCAGGACTTCAAGGCTTCTGCGCAGTTGAGTGGCGTTCAAGATCTGTCAGCGATGGAGCTGCTACTTGGGACGCTGCTGGGAGGTCGGGTGAAAGCAGCATATGAAAGTGTGAGCCGAAGTATGGACGAATGTTCGACAGGGTCAGGCAAACAGTTTCCAAAGTGGGAAGGACCATATATGGTCACTTCGAGATGGGGTTACGCAGACACAGTCGCAATGGCGAACAATGAGAGGCGCGTGAACGTCAGCGAGCTCCAGAAATGGATACAGCGAGACAAGCCAACGATGACGCCCGCACCAAGTAGATCAAGCCGACTTCAGTCGCACGTATTTGACGGGGGGACGAGTGTGGTGAGAGCAGGCTGCTAGCCGATTGGTTGGCACTAATCTACGTTAAGGTCTAGGTCACTAATATGGGCCGTGAGAAAATATGAACAAGCCTGAGTCAGCAACCAATCACAGCAAAGTTAACGTGGCAGAATATGATTCGCAGAGAGAACTCTATTTGTCAAGGAATCCCGAAACAACCAATCAGAAGCCTGCGTTTGTCTACCTAAACAACCAATCAGATGACTGCGCTTGTCTATAATAATGTAGTTGAAAGATGTATAAATACGTGTTGATTTTCATAATAAAACGATCTGTTGCCTGGCCCTTGTCTTCTGTTGTTACAATGGAACTATATAAATGAATTTAGGAAGTCGTGTGAATACCTTGATATGATTATGAGCAGTAATAAATTGTGCTCGAAACGTGGTCATCAGTAAACATTACTGTATAACACTGTGAGACTTTATCAAAACAAAATTTACCCATAATGGAATTACACTCTAACACAGTGCACAAGTTTTATTCTTATATCTTTTGATATATACTTTTGTACTGTATACTTATCCCACGTTTCGTACACTACGTACCACTTCACTCACACTCTTGTGTGACATTTATTTTCCTTGTCTGGAAAATACAAGTATCATCGTAAACCTGGTGGTCTTCTGATATCCCTCTTTCCGCGTCAGGACTATTAACTACTCGACGAGTACATAACAATAATTGGCGACGGGGAAAACTACGATTTAACACTCATCAGCAGGAGTACATAACAGAAACAATTTACATAATTTAAACTATGGATTGATTACTCTTCACATTCATAAATTCATAAAACTGTATACAGTAAGTATCTTTTCGCAGGTTACCACCTTGAAGAGCAAAAAGATCCTTTTCCTCGTGACCAACAGTACAGTGTCTAGACGCGTCGCCTGTGAACACTTACCAAAGTGGTTTAATCAGAGAGTTGACATCATAGTTAGAGAACCACTGGGAAACTAGTGATTAAGTACTGAACAGTTGTTTCGGCCTCATTTGGGACTCTTTGGCAATACAAACCCACAGGAGTTCGAAATTAGCACCACCTTCCAGATACAAGGTGAGTTTGTAGACCACTCATCAGACAATGGGATTTGATCCAATGACTGGCCAATGAATCCTAGCTTCTGTCAATTCACGAAGCATACAGAGCGAGTAACTCTCCATTTACCTGACTTGGTAAACTCCGGTGGTCATGACTTCTCACTAGAACGTCAGGCAAATTCCTGTACATAGAGATTCGCTAGTGAGCATCTCATTGACATTCAAGTGTTGGTTTGTAGGGATTTGATTGGTTACAGGATTTTCATCATGAGCTGACATTAGTTAGAGAACCATTGGAAAACCTGGGAGTACTGGACAGTCGTTTAGTCCTAGTTTGTTGTTTGGCAGGAATTTCATTGGCTACAGGTTTCAGTATGAACTGAATTCAATTAGAGAACCTTTGGAGAAAAGGCATGGAGTAATGGTCAGCTATTTTGTCCCAGCTCAATCTAATTAATCTGATGCTCACTATCGACTGGCGCTACAGAGGAAGTTACTCAGAGTTCTAGTGAGAAGTCGTGACAGGCAGAGTCCCCTAAGTCAGATGAGAGAGCACAGTTACTCCCACATGACATTGGTTAGACGCGGTGCTGTGTACATATATCACAAATTTGAATTCATGAGCCTTTGGATTCCTAGTGCCTGGGTGGTCAATGAGCTCACCTTGTAACCGGAAGGTCTTGGGTCTTGTTGAAGACTCCAAAAACAAGGATGAAACCAGCTATCCAGTACACTGTGGTGGTTTTCCAATAGTTCACTAACTGATATCAGCTCATGATCAATAGGTAACGCATTTCAAGCAATTTGATCACTTGTCATAGGAGTTTATATGAAATTAATGAAGCGTTAAAACTCGAGAGAATAAACAGAGATCAAAATACATGGTTATTATTCAAAGGTCAAAATAATAATGGAGATAACCAATTAACCTAAATAAGAGAGGGATAATAGGTCATCTATAATGGTTGTAAGCACCTCCATTGACTTCGGTTTCTGACAACTTTTTCAACCTCTCAAGGTCTGTCCACATGCTTTCATCTCCTCCTCGCATGACCTCCTCAAAGTCACCATTGCACTGACGACCAACTCGCCGCCTCCCTTTCGGGTTCCACTCGAGCGATGGCTTGTCTAGTGATGTCACTTGATGGTTTCCTCAGCGTATGGCCAATCCACTCCATTTCTTTCTGCCTATTTGTTTCACAATCGGTTCCTGATTGGTTCGCTCCCAGAGATCCTGTTGCTGATCTTTTCTGGCCATCTGATCTTGAGTATTGAGCGAGACAGTTGTTAATGAAGGTTTGAAGTTTGTTTGAGATGCTCTTTATGACTCGCCAAGTCTCTGATCCGTACAGCAAGTATCACTGACTGACTTCACATTGGAGTTGAAAATCCAGATCTTATTTTTGATGCTGATTGCTGTTGACCTCCACACAGATTTGAGAGTAATGAAAGCTTGTCTTGCTTTTAAACAAAATTTATCAAAGAATACTTATTGGGATGACTAAGTGTTTTGGAGCACACGAAAGGT